ACCAACAATAGAGGTTTGCGTGTTTACGAATTAAGACTTTAATGCTGCTTTAAAATTTATGTATATGTTCATTAGTAAAGACACTTACAAGATGCCAGCTCCAGCTGGTCCAACGGTCTTAAAGAGAGACATGTGTCATAGCAATTCCTTTAGCTGCCCCTCTTTGGCTTTGATCCTGTTTTTATTACAAAACATAATATAAGACTACAGAAAATTGGTCCATGGCTTACAAAAAAAGATAATAGAATGTTTTTTACCACAGCTTTGTTTTGCAGGATTAACAAGCCGGTTATGGCAGACACCTATATTCACACACACAAAAATGTGTCAAAAGGATCATAAGCAGCCGAGATTAGCTTTTGCTTTAGGACTCACACTTAGCACATTGATGAGGATTGATGCGCAGTTCAACAGTAGGCTTAGACTGAGACCTGATAAATTAGCTATAAACGGATGACTCATCAGTGCCTGAAACAAAAAGAAACTGTCAGAATAAGGTATCTATATCTTGTTGCATTACTAATCAACTGCACATAACCACAAGCCACATCAAAGAGAATATCAACTAACCCCAGCAAAACGGATGACCAGCACAGGTCCTAGCAATCTCTCGGCCAACGGATAAACAAAAACCTGAAAGCAGAATAGGCCGAGACCTAAAGCAGAATTGTTAATGAGTAATTAATAAAACGCGTCTCAATTTCATTAGTAAGAATTCTGTAGGAGAACCAAAGCAAGTGAATTTATGCTCTTCAAGAGCTTATTGATATATAAATAACATAGATAAAGAGATAGCTCTTAAGAGCTTTATTGTGCAATGAAATAGAAAAGGAGAAGACTTTAGATTGTCAGCAAGAGTACAGAAACGAAGACTGATATTTCATATAAAGATAAGGGAGGCTGCACTCACGGCAGCCAAAGTTAATGTGTTCATCACATTACAATCACATTTATACTACTACTATTCTACTTGCAAGAACCCTAACACACACGGGTTTATACATAACAATGGGATTGATATTGTTGCTTTGGGCTTGTGTGGGCTTGTCTACTAATTAATCCATGTTTTCTTAACTCTTGACTAATTCAAATCCTAGAATCATCATTAACACGCGAGACATGAAAGAGCAAGGATGATAGACAAACCTGAGACTGCAAGAACTGTACCGACATCATTGGTTGAGTAGCTCAGCCCTCCATATTTCCTTGGACTGTTAGCCCACAATGAAAAGATCTATTGGAGATAATAAAAAGCTGAAGATTATATACTTTTGGGTAATATAAACCAAAGATGAATGTGGAGGAAAAGTAGCACACCTCAGTGTAAGCCATAACATGAAATGAAAAGATGCAGTAGACTAAAATAGATGAAATCAGTGGCCAGTTCTTCAGAAGAGAGTCTTTTTTATTTCTATCACTCACTTTATGAGATTCAGGTTCATCATGTGATACATGATCATCATCAATCTTGTGATTGTGCAATGTTTCCTGGAGAAAAAAAAAACATTTCTAGGTTTAAGCTAAACACAGTGACTATGGATTTCTAATGGAGCATGAGAAAGTAAAGAGCGTACCGGAATGAACAATGAGATTATGGTTACCAAAATTGCAAAACAAGATATTACTAAGCACGGCAAGAAATAGGGAAATCTGCATCATAATTTTACAGACCAATGAGACTATAAATGAAAGTGAAGAGGAGGTAAAGAAAGAAGGTGATACTTACTTGCCACAAATTGATTCCTCCGAGAATAAATTTGGATATTGCTTTGCAGGCTACAAGGTCTGGAGATTAAACAAGAATCAATCAAGATGGGACAGTGATAAACAAGAAAGAAGAAGATTGAAATGCATTTTGTTACTGAGAAAACCTGAGCAAGAAAGCCTCCCAGAGCAGGGCCAATGATGAGTCCAATGCCCCATGCTATACTAACCTACATGATTTGATGGTATTTTGTATTGCTCTACTCAATTTTCTTTTGGTCAATCTCTACTCAATTTAGAAAGGTATATATATATATATATATGTAAACTTTGGATCAAGTGCTTACAGTTGAGAGTGCTAAAGCATGATATTCATTATTTCCATTGCATATGCCTGAATTCATAAAAAAAATTCGGGTTTAATGAGTTTCGACAAGTTAATGGAATATGTAAATGTTGAGATCAGGAGAACACACCTTTATAGGAACAAGTAAACCGTTGAAACTACCTAGGCAAAACCTAGTGATGATGGCCATCCAGAAATTTACACTTGGACCAAACAGAGTATTGAAAATGACGCTGTGACAAGAAGGATTGTTTTAGACAAGAAATAAAACAAAATATGAGAGATGAAGAATTAAAAAAAAAAAGATGTAAGATTACTAACACTGAAGCAGTTCCAATGAGGATTACTGGTTTTCTACGGTCAGCCACAACTCCCCAGATGACAGATGTCAACGTTCGTCCATGCATGAAAGAGCAACCTTCAAAGGTAATAATACATAGACAGATGTGAGTTTGAAAATTGTTTCGATTGTCCTGAAGTCTTAAATAGCCTAGAGTGGTCCAATAAAAGAGAGAAAGAGAGAGAGAGAGAGATTAATATGACGACGACTTACCAACAAATCCAGCATAGAACCCTATGTCCTCTTCCTTCTTTGCTATGTTGAAATCACCAATCTACCACATAAACAATAAAGCACAAGAGATTCTAGAGTTACAAGTTTTTTTTTTGGTAAAAATGTTAAAAGAGTTACAAGTTTTTACTAATCATCACCCAATCCAAAAGCAGCACGTTACTAGACTATATTAGTTTAAGTGAGTAAACTACTTTAAGTTACTAGCTCACTCACCATATATCTTTTTCTGTATATTTATAGGACAAACATGAAGATGAAATTTATTTCCTCGTTCTCGTCCGTTCAACTCTACTAATAAATGTGAAATAGTAAAGATATGCTCAAAATACTCTCTCTGACGCGTTTACCAAGACACTCCGTCGGTGGAGCGGGAGCGTGTTGCTTTTAGATCCAATGAGCGTGTTGCTGACATCAGCCCTTCCATTTTCTCTATATGGGCCAGGCCCATTCCATTTTCGAAAGGTCTTATAGCCCATTCTCTATCTCTCAAAATATTAATTTGAATGAGAGGACCAAGCCCAGAACCTGTCTTTTGGTTTTGGTTTTATTTAATAGTTTTTCAATGAGTTTCAATGGATTCACCCAACCTTTGATCGAAACTATTGTGAACACGATGTCATATCCTTCGATTCCGAAGCGATCCCTACTTTTGTGGTTGTCAGTGGATTCACCAATACCATCATCTAAGACCTTCTCTATGAGAAGTGTCATCTCTATCTCTCCTGCTATAAAATAGATGAAGTTGTCAAAATCTCAAACCGTTTTGCTATCTTGTGGAGCGGTCCGTACGGGCCCCGAAGATGCAACGGATTTCGTTTCTACGGTATTTTGAGGTGTAGATTGTCTATCAACGTGATTAAGTTTCAATTTTCCAGCTTTGCCGTGAACCTTATTGTGATACATTCGGGTTTTACTCAGAATTCGCTGTCAATTTATCCTAGAGATTTTTCTACTCTTATCGTTTATGTTGTATTATCTCTTTGTACTGTTGGTAGAGCTAGGATTATTCCTTCTTCGAAGTGTAGTCCGAATGTTTAAGTATAATGAAAGTGGTGTTCAAAAAAAAAATAAAGATATGCTACCTAAAAAGGCATTACATTACTTGAACATGTTAATTTTGATTGTTAATTTTGATTGTGGACTTTATCAATTCATAATAATCAAGGAAATTTTGAAAATAATCTAAACTATTCTGTTGGGAGAGAACTTTCATTCATTCATTCGAACATGGTAGCTCAATTTTTAACAATCTATCAGATAGATCCTCCACAAAAATAGTGTAAGCGCCTTAAAGTTTCCAATAGATCCTTCACACACATCCACTTCTTACTATGTGATCAACAACCCCTAACGCTTATTAAAATGGTAATGTTATTATGTCATTGATGTTTCTATAATCTTTGGTAGAAAATCACACTTATTAAAGCAAAGGAAAAGAAACTGGAAGCCTAAGGTTAGTGACATTTCAGTTTTTTTTTTCTCAAATCTAGAACTAAAAGAATCAACGAGTCCTCATACATTTCCCTATCACCAATCCCAAAGCACTTCACCTCCTAGCCGTCTTTAGAAATGGCTTGAACGTGAGAGCTACACCGACCACCACTATCAAATTCAGGACGAAGAACACCAGATGTGATCCTGCATAGTGTAAACATAATGTATTATGAACATTACATCATTAAAGGATAATGGTCACAAGGGAAGTTATGCAATGATACCTGGTAGAAATGCGGCGTTTAGTCGCCTCTCGCTCCAAGAAAACCTACCAACAATAGAGGTTTGTGTGTTTAAGACATTACTGCTGCTTTAAAATTTATGTATATATGTTCATTAGTAAGAGACACTTACAAGATGCCAGCTCCAGCTGGTCCAACGGTCTTAAAGAGAGACATGGCAGTCATAGCAATTCCATTAGCTGCCCCTCTCTGACTTTGATCCTGTTTTTATTACATAACATAAACAATAAGACATAGAAAAATTGGTCCAATGCTTACAAAAAAAAATAGAATTCTTTTTCTTACCACAGCTTTGTTTTGCAGGATCAACAAGCCAGTTATGGCAGACACCTATATTCACAATAACTATATCGTAAGCAGCAGAGAAACATATGAACATGAACTTTTACACTCTGTATATGTAAACTACACAAAGTAAAGGATTAGCTTTTGGACTTACACTTAGCACATTGATGAGGATTGATGCACAATTCAACAGTAGGCTTAGACTGAGACCTGATAAATTAGCTATAAATGGATAACTCATCTGTATTGGTATCATCAGTGCCTGAAACAAAAAGAAACTGTCAGAATAAAGTATCTATATCTTGTTGCATTACTTATATAACCACAAGCAACATGAAAGAAAATATCAACTGACCCCAGCAAAACGGGTGACCAGGACAGGTCCTAGCAATCTCTCAGCCAAAGGATAAACAAAGACCTGAAAGCAGAATAGGCCGAGACCTAAAGCAGAATTGTTGATTAGTAAATAATAACACAGTAACGATCTCATTAGTAAGATTTCTACTAAGTCATGATTGCTTAACTCTTGATTAATTCAAATCCTAGCAGACTCTGATCATCATTAACACAGGAGCATGAAGATCAAGGATGATAGACATACCTGAGATTGCAAGAACTGTACCAACATCATTGGTTGAGTAGCTCAGACCTCCATATTTCCTTGGACTGTTAGCCCATAAAGCAAATATCTGCAGTAGACAGATTCCAAATGATAAAGATTTTTGTTCAGACGAAGAAGAGCACTATTCCAATAGCATGGAGTCTTATTGTTAGTTCAGTTATTACCTCAGAGTATGCAGTATCATGTAGACACAACACGCAATAGACAATGATAGATGACATTAGTGGCCAATTCTTTAACAGAGACCCTTGAGAAGCCTTTTCGTTTTTTCCAGTCTTCCCGGTAAAGGCAGCAGATTCATGAGATGCAGCTTCAAGTACTTCATATGAGTCATCATCTGAAATGATGTCCTGCTTATGATTGTGCAGTGTTTCCTACTCAGAGAGAACCATAAGAAACTCGTTAGAGAACTCTATGAGAAATATAACAATAGAGAAGACTAGAAAATGAAGACAAAAGTTCTCAGTACCGGAATGAAGCAGCACAGTACTGTCACAACCAATGCAAAAGCTGATATGGTAAAGCAAGGCAACGCATACCGGAACCTGCATTGCATTTCACATATTCCTTTCATGAGATTCCATCATACTCATTCCACTAAACTCTTAAACAGAGGATTAAGTAAGAAAAACACACCTGCCAAAGATGGAGTCTTTGGAGAACACATTTGGATACTTGTCTGCTGGCTGAATTTTGAGAACATTGAGAGGAATTAAAATGAATCAGTAGAGGAGATATGACACATGATAAGCTTCAAGCATTTAGATCACTGGGAGTTGCAAGGTTGTAATGCTAACATAATTAGAGTTAGACATGATCAAAGTTACCTGTGCTAAAAAGCCACCTAGAGCCGGACCAATGATAAGGCCAATGCCCCAAGCAGTACTAACCTGAAACAGATAAAGATACATGTGTCATGACACCAACAGTAAAAACATGTAACAACTATATGTAAACGGAATAACTTACAGCAGACATTGCTGTTGCTTGATATTCATCACGAAATATCTCTGACGCATATGCCTTAAAACATTTCAAAATTCACAATTAGATATTATTAGAAAAGTCAAATCACAAACAGGTGTAGATTAAAAAACACACATAAACCAAGAATCAGCAAAGAAGTTACCTTCATAGTTCCAAGTAGACAGTTGAAACTCCCGAGAAGAAACCTTGTGCCAATAGCCATCCAGAAGTTCAAGCTTAAGCCAAAAAGCGCATTGAAAATTGCACTGCAATAAAACCACCCAAACCACGTTAAATTAAAACGAAAGGTGGAGATACAATAATTAATGAAAACAAGTCTTTGGGGGTAAACATGGAGATAGTTCCCAAGAGTATGATGGGTTTCCTCCCATAACGGTCAGCCACTATTCCCCAGAAAACTGACGTCAATGCTCTGCCAAGCATAAATGAGCACGCTTGGTAACAAACAAAAAACGTCAAATCAGATCAAAACGGGCAAGCCAGAGATATTGAGAGTGAAATACAAGTAGTGACTTAGGAAAATGTCATCCTCACCTATAAATCCAGCATAAAAGCCAATATCTTTCTCCGTCTTTGCAACACCAAAATCCTCAATCTATTTAAAAAAAACATACATGGAATAGTCATAGTATTAGAGCCCTATGCAATTTGCAGCTAATATAATTAATAACAAAATGATATCTCTTTTCAGCTCTGTAATCACAAAATGACTCACCATGTAATATAGGAAGGGATAGAGTGACGAAATCGGCAGAGCTGCAAAACCACAAGAATCCAGAAGGCATTAGCAGCAAGCCAATCCAACAAGGCCATAAGAGAAGGGAAAAGGGAGGGAAGTTACAAGTGGAGAGGACAATGATCCAAACGAAAGAAAGCTCCAAATAAGGATAACCTCTCCGGAGCTGTTTCATCTGCTCGACCTTGCATCCAGGACATCCCTCGTGGTTCTTGTGCTTCTCCAACAACGCCTCCTTGTACTCCTCCGCCATTTCTCTTACACTTCTTCGATTCAACTCCCTCCACCACAAGAAAATCAACAGCCACCTAGAAAACATCGTATCAAAACCGAAATTAAATGGAAAGAATGTCATACAAAAATTGTAAAAACGGAATATTTCAATAATCGCTAGAGGGAGACATCAAAATATCAAAAGAGTACCACCACACAAGATAATTAAAAAATCTCTATCGTAGATGGAGCAGACCCAGATGAAGAGTTGGTCACGTAGCGAATATATATGGTGGAGCTAAAGGGCCAAAAAAGGTGGTCACACTCACACATGTGTCATCAATAATAATCTCGTCACATGTTCACGGACCGACCTCTAAACCTTCTTCCACCATCCCGGGTTTGTACTTCAAATTCTATCTCCCAGAATACCACAAATTTAACTTTCAAATTTCGAATTATTTTTCTTTTTAAAGTAATACTCGTTATTAAATCCTTTTATGTATTTAATTATGGGATACACTAACTAGGAATGTTTTTTTGAAGTCACATGGGATAATGGAGACAGGAAGAAAGAGACAAAATGAAACTGGGTGGATACACATTTATAACTAAACAATTTTGTCGACTGCTCTCTACTTGGAATGGTTTATCCCATCTTGCAAATCAAATTCCTTCACGTGTATATATTATAATGTTTTCGGTTTTTTCTTTTTGGTATGTTATAATGTTAATCACAATAATTATTGTTTGTCTTGTTAGGGATAAGAAGAGGCGTTATCATAATCAAAAGACAATAAAGAGAACTTTAGTGTTGAAAGCAAAACAATAGTATTACAACTTTGAATCATTTTCTAACAAAAAGTTAGATAGATAACTTTTGTAATTTATATATGTATAAAGGTACAAAGGTAGCTTCGTGCGTGGATTGATTCCTGCTTTTGGAATAAAAATTGAAGGCTTTTCGTTAATCACTGATTATATAATCATATGTAGTCCAATTATGACAAAGGCCCTTAGTGCTTTGATAGATGTACGAATATAATGCTTTTTTCCAGTTCCATGCGTTGTAGCGTTACCTAATTGACTCCATGTGTTATGTTTATGTTTGTGTATCCAAAAGCGAGAGTATATATTATATGGGGTATGTGGACAATTCCACGTCAGTGGTATTAGTGGAGCCCACAATTGGAGCCAGAGAGATACGCGTGTTGCGCACACAGTTTACCACACGCAAGCTTTACACGAGCGCGTTGCTCCCACCCTCCGGCACGTGGGGTCAAAGACAATGACACTTGACTCGATCCATATCTTATGTTTCGACGTGGACATCCGTCAATTACAGGTCTACATGTAACGACGAAATATATAAATAGGATTCGTATTTATTGGGCCTTTTCTAATTGGGCTAAAAACTATTAAATTTTTTTGGGCACCCAGAGCATAAGATCCAGTCCAAGTTTTGGATCCCATTCGAATTATATCTTTGAAAACTCTCGATTTAACAATACTTTTTTTTTTTGGTAAAACAACAATATATATATATTTTTTGTTCTGTTTTGTTGCAATGATAACTATAATATAACTGAGAATACCCAATTGTTCATATGCACAAAAACATATAATCTTAATTTAATTTATAGGTTAAAAGTACAGTATTGACTCATAGGCCTTCAATGGGTGAATATTTTTGTTTGGGTCAAAAAATGGTTGAATATTTATGCATGCAGAGTTTTTGGCTTCTGTTTTGAAATTTAAAATAGTTTCGGATTTTGGGAAATTTTTTGTTTGTGTTAAAAACTTAAAATGGATGAGACAACAATTTTTTGAGCTGATTGATTTTGGCTAAAAAAAAAAAAAACTCCAAATTTAATTGCGGATAACTGAGATGAGACAAGAGTCTCTACACTATAAAAAGTAACCAAAGAGAGAATTATCTTCTGCTTCCATCCACTGGACCAAAAAGAAGATAAAAAAAGAAAAACTATCTTAAGGTGTGTAAGCTCTGAGGCTCATCCATGGTACCCACCACAGCCACCGCCACCATGTGTCCCTCTCCTCCTCTCCCAACAATGTCTCCGTTACTCAGAACAAGTCACCAATGTCAACCATCTTCCATAAAGCTTGGCACCACTCTGTTTCCCGGTGAGGTCACGGTGGATAGAGCGGCTGAGAGCTCCGTGATGATCAAGCCAGAGAAATGGGGATCTCAGTTAGAGAAGAGGAGGAAGAAGAGGAGGAGAAGACGAGCAGGTTTGGATCCTGAAGAAGAGGAGAATGTTGTCACAGAAGTTGAAACAGAACCAAAAGCAGTTAATGTTCCCTCACGGTCTGGTTTCTTGAGTCGTTTAGAAGAGGTTCAGCTTTGCTTGTATCTCAAGGTACATTTATTGATTTTCTTTCATATATCTTCTGTTAGCACTTATCTCATTGCTTGTGTAATAACAAAGCAGGAAGGAGCAAAACTTGAGAATCTAGGAACAAGTGTTGAAGAGAATGAGATGGTATCAATGTTGAAGAAGAGGCGTAGTAGTGCTAACGAAATATTATGTAGAAGAAGAGAAGCGAGAGAAAAGATTACTCGTTGTTACAGGAGACTAGTTGTGTCTATTGCAACAGGGTACCAAGGGAAAGGATTGAATCTACAAGACCTGATTCAAGAAGGAAGCATAGGGCTTCTTAAAGGAGCTGAGAGGTTTGACCCTGAACGTGGCTACAAACTATCAACTTATGTCTACTGGTGGATCAAACAAGCCATCCTAAAGGCTATAGCTCACAAGTCTAGATTAGTCAAATTGCCGGTGAGCCCTGGATCCTAACTGTATAGTTGCTATAGATATAACCATCAACCATATATAACATGGACAATAAAACTACAATGGGTTTCTATGGAGTGGTAAGTAGTTAGTGAATGCATCTTTTTTAGCTTTGTTTGTGTGTAGGGAAGCATGTGGGAGTTGACTGCCAAAGTTGCAGAAGCTAGTAGTGTCTTGAACAGAAAGCTAAAACGGATACCAAGTAGTGAAGAGATTGCAGATCATCTCAATATCCATGTATCAGCGGTTAGACTTGCTGTGGATAGGAGCAGATCCCCTGTTTCGTTGGACAGAGTGGTGTCTCATAACGGCCGCATGACATTGCAGGTACACCTCTTCATGATAATGCTAACTAGAGATATAAATTTGAACTCTTTTTACCATGTTCAGGAGATTGTATGTGGACCAGATGAAACAAGGCCAGAGGAGATGGTGAGAAAGGAGCACATGAAGCATGAGATTAAGCAGCTTTTGGGAACTCTTACCGCTAGAGAGTCTCGAGTATTGGGACTCTACTTTGGACTAAACGGAGAGACTCCTATGTCATTTGAAGAGATAGGTAAGACGTTGAAGCTTTCAAGAGAGAGGGTGAGGCAAATCAATGGCATTGCCTTAACCAAGCTAAGAAGTGTACATAATGTGAATGATCTCAATATATACTATTCCTCTAGTGAATGAGAAAAAATATAAAATAAATCACAAAAGTTATATTATTGGATTTAGTTCTGTACAAATGGAGACACTCAATTCTCTCCCTTGTGGAGATTATGGAGGATATAAAGAGAAGCAGATGACAAGAAGATACAAACGGAATAACTCAACAAATCAAGTCCAGTGGCGATGGTAACCATCTTGCTTCTTTCGAACATCTTCACTAGAAGAATCATTACAATAACATGTCCAACTTTGGTTTTCAGCTCATCTAATGAGCTGATCTTCATCCATTTTGGTCTCTCCTTCATGGCAAACATTCCAAAGAGTGAAGAGTTTTTAAGGGCACGGTCAGATTCGGAAGGGACATCAGGAGGAGAGTTGCTGATGAAGAGTCCATATAAACCCATACTAAATATTAACATAACTGTCCCAGCTAGATAAACATCTGCACATCAAAAACATTCATAGAGAATGAGACAATAACCTGCTCTAAGAATTATGGGGCTAAGGCGATTTCTTAACGATTTCACCTAATTTTTTTTTTTTTTGGGTCTGTATACATGTAATGAAACAAACAAGGCTTGATCTCTCTATATATAGCAACTTTACCTATAGCTTCGACTAGACGTAAAACCATTTTTCCGGTGTGGATGCCTTTGACACAGTTAGTCCAGTAAACTTTGTATGCCTCAATGATGTAGACACACCCCTGCATAGTGATTCATTACTATTAGTATTATAGAATGTTAATGTGAGTTAAAACGTATCAAAACTAAAACCACAAAGTTACATTGAGGAAACAGAGTAGCGAACCAGCCAGAGAGCCTCCTACTGCCAAGAGCGCAAGGAACCGGAAATCAAATATTATCTGTTCCATCCAAAAACACATTCAAGAAACATGTCATGTCACAGCTCAACAAATCAAGAAGAAACAGTAGTAAACTTTCCAAGAAAAGTTTTGATTTAGTTTTTTTTACCCTTTCAACGTTAGACTCGGTGGAACGAAAGAAACGAGCAAAGGGGGTGTTGTAATCATCCACAACCTTGTTATGAGCTCCATTAGAATTTGACAACGTGTTTCCTCCGTTGGTGATAGAGTTAGATGGTGCAGAGGACTCTGGAGATGATGAGGCAAGAGTTGCTAACGTCAAAGAGAAACGGCGGCGCTTTGGTAAGTGATGAGTTGGCAGGGAGATAGAGAGGCGTGTGGAGGAGACTAACGTGTAGAGAGCAGCCATAGATAAGATATTTTGGAGAGAGATGGGGTGTGGAGCTATCTGGTTAGTTTGAGGTTTCTTGAGTAAGGGACTTTGAACTACACTGCCGGAAGGGAAGGAAAGACCGGCGCGTGGGGGGGTGGGGAACGAGGAGGAGGATTAGGCGGGAGAGGAATATGTGGTGTGTGAAGGAAGTTGATTTTTCTTTATAGAGAGGCCATTTCTGTTTTTGTTTTCTATCAAATGTATTCATAAACCAGTTTTAATATGTGTCTGTTAATTTCCACTGTATTTCAATTGTATTACTCTAGTAGAACTTTTAGACCATGATAAATTAGTTTAAAAAATAAAATTAGCCATGTTGAGTATTTTTCCACCATTTTGTTGTTTGCCAAAAGAATTTTACCTTCACCCTTTGATTGTTGAATAAGAACTTGAACTTCTAAAGATCTAAAGAATTAAAAAAACGTTTTTTATTTACTAAAATAAAAAGAGGAAAAAATTTGGTCTATGAGAAATTTTATGCACAGTTTTACCTTTTTAAAAATGTTATTAAATTTTAGTAAATAAATTAAAAATCTCCACCGGTATGCAATTAACCCATAAATCTCTAATAACCGAAAATGTATATTTTTTCTCCGAGAAACACAACACAACCGAAACATATACTTAGACAATGATTAACTTCAATTTATTAACTGGAAGTCTTAGTTTTTCTTAGATTTTAACTAAGAAAGATTAAGAACCATCTCTTGAATAAGAAATATAAAAACTATCTTTTAACCAAAAATATATAAAAAAATCAAATTATAAGTTAAGAACTCTGGCTAAAATTTCAGAGTTAATCATGTCCTTATACAACATTTACTACTTTAACATTACTAAGCTTTGGTTAAAATCTTCTCATTAACAACATTTACTACTGAACTTGGGCCAAAAAAGTCTTCTCATTTTCAACATTTACCACTTTGACAAGGTATTATCCAATAGTTATAAAATAATTCTGTAATTAGACATTTGGAATCAAATTCAGATAGAATTGTGGCAAAGATGAACACTTAACCAAAGTGTCTAAGGTTATTAATCTGGAACTTACGTGTAAGAAAAGCAAACAATTGTAAAATTCGGGAATTAAATCCTAAACTTTAGAGTTTAGATAGACAATGGTACGTAATCAACAAAACGGGAAATATTTGGGTTGGATTTGAGATTAATTGCCGGATCGGGCAACCTTTAAAAAAAAATGGAACGCCGTGCAACTCAGTAGTTAGTGGGCTTTTAAAGAATAAAAATTAGACTCTACCTATAAAACTAAATAATTTAGCCACTAGAGTGGAGGACATTATGGTAATTTCCACATGTCAGACACTTGGCCACGCTGGGTCTGTGTGGATCTCTCTCTCTCTCTCCAATATTTTCTTTTATAAGCGAAAGACCAAGTAAAGTAGTCAGGTGCCTCTGAGCTCTTCCCCACCACTCTCCCCTTCCTAAAAGCTTTGTAAGTCTCCTCCTCCTCCTCCTCCCTTAAAGATTCTGTTTCACTTAACGTGATCCAGATCTTAGATCGTTGCAGCATAATGTCGAAGTCTGGCTCTCTCGATCTCGCCTCCAACCTTGGCGGAAACATCGATAAGTCCGATGTTCTCAGCGCCGTTGAAAAGTATTTTTGCTTCCCTCTCTCTCTCTCTCTCTCAAACGTGATCACTTCGTTGTTTCAATTCTCCCAGATTCATGTTTTATTCTCATGCATATTGTGATGTTACCAGTCACGCTCGTTACGAAAATCTTATACGGCCGCACTCTCGTTAAAGGTCAACAACGACAATGAATGTTGGTTAGATCAAGAATCCCATGAAAAATGAATAATCAATCAATCAATCAATCGCCACCTCCTGTGTTTTGGAACTGTACAGCATATTAAAGTAGATTTTGTGATGGTCCCTCACTCTACTACTTTTAACGTGTTTCTCACTACTATGTCACGTTCTTGAGGGCCCCATCACTCTTTCCCATTTTCAACTTGAAAAAAAACATTTGTTTCTTTTTAAATCTCGTCTCTCGAAAGATGTAGAAATGCATGCATCAATATGTTTTTTTTCCTAATTTTATTACCTGCTGGCTGCACATTATTAAACCGTATAGTGATTCAGGTATGAGCAGTATCATGTCTTCCATGGAGGCGACGAGGAAGAGAGAAAAGCTAACTACACTGACATGGTAAAATCTCCCATTATCTTTTGACCTACGCCTCACACTCTGCTTTCACAACATGTGTAGTGGATACAACAAGTGCAAGCATTTCTCATGTTCTTGATATACAAAATTATTAGTTAAGTAGGCCAGGTGTTGAAGTTAATCATACTGATTAGTCAAATCTAATAACGTATTCAGGTTAATAAGTATTATGACCTTGCTACTAGCTTTTATGAGTACGGATGGGGAGAATCCTTCCACTTTGCACACAGGTCTAAGCTCTACAACTCTGTTTTGAAGTTCTACGATAAAATCCTTTTTTTTCTTGCTGCCACATACACTGATACTAGTTTTTCTAGTTATATTTAATCAACATGAGTTTTGGGTTTGCAGATGGAAGGGAGAATCACTTCGAGAGAGTATTAAACGTCACGAGCACTTTCTTGCTCTTCAGCTTGGCGTTAAACCTGGACAAAAGGTTTGATCACTTTAGCTGAGCGCTTGCAACGAAGACCACTTGCGCCATTAGATATTCATTTCTTTTGTATTTCTCAACAGGTGCTGGATGTAGGATGTGGAATTGGTGGACCACTGAGAGAAATTGCACGATTCAGGTAAAATGCCTACACCATACCAAAAGCATACCATATATCAATTGAGTAGACGTCATGGTTAGGAATGTATATTCCAGTTTATAATGTATTTGTTTGCTCTTTCTTGCTGCAGCAATTCATCTGTCACCGGGCTCAACAATAACGAATACCAGATCATCAGAGGCAAGGTAACATATCTATTATTTATAGAAGATGATGCATTTCGTTAATGGAAAACTCTTGGAAGTGTTATTTCATGTCTTCAAATTTGATTTTGGTTCATTCTGGAATGTGGACTATATGAGCTTTTTTAAAAATTAATTCCACCATCTGGTGTCAAGACTTTTTCCTTGGTGTCTTCCTATTGGCGATGATCCTTTTCTTTGCAGGAACTAAACCGACTTGCAGGTGTTGACAAGACATGTAACTTTGTCAAGGTCAGTTAAATTCTTTCTTCTTGTGATTACCAACTGATAGGGAAACACATTGTAACGGGCAACATGATGTTAATCTTGCAGGCTGACTTCATGAAGATGCCATTCCCTGAAAACACTTTTGATGCAGTTTATGCTATTGAAGCAACCTGCCACGCACCTGATGCAGTATGTCAAATTCTAAACAGCTATTTCTTTGTATTCTTCCCTGCATTTTATAAGCATTGTTTTTGATCTCAAACAACAGTATGGATGCTACAAAGAGATCTTCAGAGTGTTAAAGCCCGGGCAATGTTTCGCTGCCTATGAGTGGTGCATGACTGATGCATTTGACCCTGCTAACGCCCAGCATCAGAAAATAAAGGTCTACATTGGTCTCTTGCATCTATCCATACTATATGTGCATTTATTATCCACGTGAATAAAAAACAAAGACTCTGTTGTGCAGGCAGAGATAGAGATTGGAGATGGTCTCCCTGACATTAGGCTGACTTCAAAATGCCTTGAAGCCCTGAAGCAGGCCGGTTTTGAAGTAAGTATCTGCCTACAGATCCCTCTCTATTTGCAAACGCAAAACATTTCAATATCGAAAAAATACTGTAATCATCTGCTTTGATATAAGGTGATATGGGAAAAGGATCTGGCGGAGGACTCGCCAGTCCCATGGTACTTACCTCTAGACAAAAACCACTTTTCGCTCAGTAGCTTCCGCCTAACAGCTGTTGGACGATTCATAACCAAAAACATGGTAACAACAACCAAAAAAAAACATGCTCTGACTCATTTGCCAAATCTCATCAAGCAGTAGTAGCTCATATATATATATCCGAACTTGTCCTTGTTATTTAGGTGAAGGTCCTTGAGTACATAAGACTCGCACCTAAAGGAAGCCAAAGGGTGTCAGATTTTCTGGAGAAGGCTGCAGAAGGATTAGTTGACGGTGGAAGGTATTTGTCCCACTTCAATATTCAAATTAGATCTGTTACGTTTTTGTAAGATCAAATTCTGAATCTTTGTGTGTTTAACAGGAGAGAGATATTCACGCCAATGTACTTCTTCTTGGCCCGGAAGCCAGAGTGAGGGGATGAGAGATGGTTATCCTAGGTGGAGTGAAGTTGACCAGATTTATCAGTTTGCTTTTTGTTTGTTCTCGTTCATGTCGTTTTGTTGCAGTGTTTTTGCATGTCTCTTATTTTCTTAAAAAAAGAAAACCTTGTCGTCACCAACTCTTATTTTGGATGGTTTCTTAAGATCTCACGTGCTGCTGCACTCTGTCACTGAGTCACGTACACATGAGCAAAAGATCTTGGAATCCTAATCTCTTTTTTAGTTTTAGATCTCTTACTCTTTTCGTCGTCTTCTGCCATGATCCAAAAGTAAGTCCACTTGCATGTACAGACGTGGAGTTTGGATTCTCTTCCTTTGGATTTGGATATGCTTAGAGATTCGCTGAGTCAGAGATGATGGTAAAAAGAATCTTTTCCTTTATGGATCTGTTTTCTTTTTGTTCTCTAGAGTTGATTACGTATCCATGGATTGAATTACTACAGTTGACTAAATAGTGGCCTTAGATATTTTAGAGCAGGCCTGATAAGATACACACTTATAGTTACAAGGATAGAGATTCCATCTAGTGCATACACACATATCAGGAGTCTATGACAGTCTTTAGTTTGTGATTCAGGCTCCACTTGAACGGATATTGTTTACAGGAGAACACACAAGTGAAAAGTTCAGTGGATATGTACATGGAGGATACCTTGCAGGTAAGGAGACAAGTCTTTATTGGAAGAGAGTGATGTAGAGTTTGTTGTTTCAACCTTTACTCGCCTTCACAGAGTCTCTAATACTTACAGACCAGAACCTTAATCCTCAAATCTACACTAATCTCAGGCAGATGTACTCATGTGAAGTACTTACGTAACAGATGCCTTGAAATAGATAAGGCGTCTCCTTTTGCCTTAACCGGATAAACCTCTGATGAACTTTGCTGCCATTTATGTGACATCATTATCCATTCTCTTCTCCATTTCTCTATCTCAAATTTCTTCTTATCTTCTAAGCTTTTCATCAGTCCACTAAAATACAATGTTGCTCTTGGTAAGTAGTAGTCTTCAAGTAACCCACTCCAGAATTTGTTTGCTGATGATGATGATGAACACATAAGATAAACAATTTTGTAAGGAAAAAAGAACTCAATCTACTTTAAAAAGAACATTTCTTACCATAATCATGAAGCTTGCTTTGGTTCACACCTTTGGAGTCATACCACATGGTCACTTGCGTTCTAGCATTCCACTCATACTGTACAGTGTACACACAAAAAACTGAGTCATAAGCAACCCATGTACTCTCTATCTACACGCTCCAAGAAAGAACTCAACACTACACCTGTTTCCTTTCACCACCGTTTCTGGCCAACTTCTTTGCACTCTCAAGCCAAGTCCCCAGCAGAAAATTATCATCTGAAGCTAGCAACACGTCGATATCCTTAATAAGCTCAAGAAATTTCTTACTCAATCGTCTTAAACTTTCGATATCTTTCTTTACAAAAGCAGTCACTGCTTCCATGTAGACCTTGTTTGCTAGCTTAGATAAAACTTGACGCGTCAAATCAACCATGTCGTACCTACAAGCAAAACCCAAGAGAATCTGTAACCATTTAAAACAGTAGATAACACCGTCTTCAGTTACTTTTACCTATATGTTAAGCTCCCAAGCAGATCATCTCCAGCTTCCAGGAAAAGTCTGAGAGCTTTGATCACTTCCTCTGTGGAATACCATAAATGCGCCTTAGGCAAACCAGAGGTATTATCTTGGAACAAGAATCTTCGTTTTGTTTCATATGGCTCTGTGGAGATCATGTATGAATCTGTTTGTTTTGATTCGACATGGAGAGAAGACGTAGATGGATCCCAGTCAGGAAGCTTGACTATGAAGTCTGTGTTATGATCCTAAAACAGAGAATGAAACAGTAACATAACTTAATTAAGGAGAGGTGAATGATGCAGCAGTGACCAAAAGAAAAAAAAATACCTTAATTCCATCAGTGCAATTGTAGACAGTGTGGTAAAGAATCTCCCAAGCGGCATCGATTTGATGATTTTGTTTCATGTATCTTCTGCGTGCATAGCTCTTCAGCCATTTCTATAAAACCAAATCAGTCATGAGCAAACACGTTCAAGTGTTGTACCAAGAGTGTGTTTATAATGTATGCATTACCTGTACATTAACTTTCTCATCTCTAAACGCCATTTCAGACATTAGTTCGTAAACCACTGGGTTGTGCTCTATTCCTTCCATACACATTCCTACACCAACCTATGAGAAACACTGATAAGTTCATTACATGTCCAAGGGTATACATACTAGCCCTTAAGTGTGAATGCACGCTTGAAAAATACCATGGTTGAGTTTTTGCTGACACGAGCATCAACAGGTCCTGAAGAAATTGAATCAAGGGTGCCATACATTTCAATGTTGCCTCCGAAGTTGTGAAGCATGCACCTGAAGTTCATCAGATTTTCAATTAAAACATATAGGACTCTACAAGTACCAGCATGATAAAGAAACTGAGTGAGACACAAGGATATATTACCAGATATAAGGAGTTCCATAAAATTGTGCGGACGTGTTCCATATCGGTTTGACATCAGCAAATAGATCAAGAACTATCATTTTGCCAAAGGGAACAGAGAGTAAGAGCGCCTGCAGAAACAAAAAGAGGCTGTCATATAGAATAATAAACGCCATTTCCAAAATAATACAACAAACTCTATCAGCATTTGATCATAAACAGTGTATTGTAAACTTACTTTCATCTGTGGTGGCTTCCAGAATTTTGAGTCTGAACTGAAAAGCCAACCCTGCAGAAAGATGGGTCTCAAGTAAGAAAGCAATATGATAATCATGGCATGAACTGGAAAAACCCTGGTCCTGTCATTATAGATTGCTGTAACTCCAAATATTAATACGGTAAGCCAGACCACTCAGAATGCCACTTGAGAATAGAAATGAAAAAGAGGTCATACTTGCATTAACCAGACAGCATTCTTGTTTCCTTTGGACATAGCTTTGTACACTGCGGCTCCTAGTGAAGATATATATTCAGGTTCACTTGTGGGAGGAGTATTCTCATTGAATGTATCACTGCATTCCATAGAAATAGAGTTTTTGCTTGAGTCACACATTTTTGCGGAAGATGATGTTTTACCAGTACTTACTAGGCTCCCAAAAAATGTAAAAATGTTGCAGGAAGTAATTAACGTCTTTCAGGTGCAAAGTTGAAGAAAATTACCAGTTATAGATGTTTGTAATCTCTCCATATTCTGAGACAGAAACAAGGTACGATTAAAGGCATACATATACATAATAAGTTATAACAAGAAGACTGTGATGAGGTGGGATCTTTGATTAGCATGTGCCTGGTTTGTTAAAATGGATTTTACATATTCTGCTAAGATTACGGAAACAGAAATAACATCAGGTACCTTCAATTTGTTGTTTAATAAAAGCCTCCCCAATGTCAATGAAGAGAGGATCAGAAGGATTCAGAAGGTAAGTGCAGCACCAGCGAGAATCACCATCCACAGTGTTCCTGAGAAGAAAATGAAACACAAATGATATGCTTATGTGAAGAAGGAACAGTTAAAAAACTAGCATCTGTATCCACTGGATAAAACTGTTTAGGGCCTAGTGACGTACCAGTCATCAAGCCGAGTTATATTTGCCCCAGGATATATCTTTCTCAAAGCTGATGGAACATTTCCTGAGAATGATGGAAGTACTAGAAAAGAAGGAAACAAAGGAAACTATAAGATGACATGAAATCAATCCATTGTGATTTGAGTATCTGAGAACAGAAGGGATTGTTCCTTGAACCTGGAGTCATGCCAAGCTCTAGCATCCGAGAAAGTATCCGTTTCTGCAAAAGCAACTGATCACCTAGCCAGTTTTTCGACAATGGACCACCCCACCTGTGATGTAGTGTGTGATATGGATATGTGAGATCCAAGAATATAATACAAATCTAGCTCAGAAGAAGCATCGGCGATAGGAGCCTCAAAATAGCCGAGATGAGGTTATTTACGCATGAAGATTTCCCATGCGAGCCCAAGCGAGAAATGCTGGTCCCCCAAAATAATCATCCAGATCTTCTTTGCTGATATTAAACCTCTAAACAAGATTGATACAGAACTTGGTTAGTGCATACAAACTTATGCCCAACACAAAAATGCAGTAGCTGATCATGTCAAAGCAAACAATTACTATTCTTATCACAATCTGACAAAGAAGTGGAATAACAACATTTACCTTGAAAACCTTTTGCCAAATAGCTTCTTGGCCAGTGAATGCTAGAGGCAAGTTAATACCTTGCAATGCCATCCAGTCAATCTCTCTCTCCCATCTCTCCCATCCCCACCACACATATGAATCTAATAAAAACAGGTGATTCATTACAAAATCACTGACACATGAGGGAACTTTGAATCTAGTAAAGTGCATATCGATATCTTACAGCTAGATGTAACAACATTTTGGTAATAGTTCCAAGGGACAGGACGGCGAATCAAGATGCGTTTAGAATCTAAACGAGGTAGATGTCCAGGGTTCGGAACAGATGCAATCTGGATGCCACCAGTCTTGTCCCAAGAAACATGAGCGTTACATTTATACTTTAAATACCAATGGAGACCAGAAGCTATCTCAACTCCAGTTGTGCCTTTAATCCTGAAACCACAAGTTAAACAAAAAAAATGACAAAACTGGAAGAGAAGAATCTCAACTTAACCTGATCACTTGTCAAGATACTTACACAATTTCAGGTCCATTTCCTCCATGGCCATCATAGTTTTCAATTATAAAACAGCTACTGCCACCACAAACATCCTAGTGAAACCAAAAAACAATCAGTACTGTAGAATCAAACTGAAAACAGAGGAAAAAAAAAGGAAGAACCTTTGAGATAATTGTGAACTCAAAGCTGTGAGAATGGGTTGGAATCAGTCTATGTAATAAACCCTTTGCTGCTGATTCTTGTACATGCGAAGTTGGTCGCAGGGAATCCAAACGGTTAAGCAAACCGTTGATAACAGGATGTTGTAGTGACAAAGAATGAGAGTGAACAGAGAGAATCAACAAAACCAACAAAACGAATTTGATTGGACGCATGGTGACTGATGATGCTCGTAACTAACGAGGGAGTAAGCGGTGATAAGACTGGATATGCAAAGATACCATAGGAGCCACATGATCACCATGAGTAGTGAACCGGTTGTTGGAAACTAAACCGGACTCTGTTTCTAGTATATACAACTTTTATTACAAACCAAACGACAAAATACATAGACTGTACAAGCCTGTGTTCGTTTCGTCACTAGTACCAGTGTTTGGAGTTTAAGGCTTTGGATAGAGGAGTACGGATATATATAGGATACATGAGTTGTGTCAAGATTCCATGAAACTAGTTTGTGTCGAGAAACTACAAAGTTCAAAGCAACTTTCTGGGTATGCTTCAATAAACATATAGCAAACTAGTCATAGCTATTCGGTTATGATTCGATTTCGGTTCTCGGTTCAATTTTTTTTTATTATAGAGCTTTAGGATATATTTGGGTATTTTGAAAATTTGGTTCAGTTTCGATCCAATTATTTAGGTTTTAGTTTGGTTTGGATAACAAAGTTGGGAATCGACTTATATCCGAGATAATTTTGGACCGTTCGATTCAAGTTTTCGGTTAATTCGAATTAAAAATAAAAAGAAAATCTGATTTTATGGATTGAAAACCCCAACTTTAGAGGGTTTTAGCTAGGATAAATTGTATAGTTCAGATAATTATATATATTTTGGATAAACAATCTTTTAGTAATTCAACTTTTTGGGACTAGTAAAATTTTCTTTTTGAATTTGATTATTTTAAAGCTTAAAATAGTATATTTATAAATATATAAAGTATATTATAGAAATTTGGATATCCATTCAGTTCTTAATTCAGTATCGGTTTAGTTCAGATTTTGTGGAACATGTTTCAGCATTGTTTTTTTGCAAATGTCTTGCTATACCAATAGAATGATCCTAAAGTTTATAAATTGTGAACACGAGTAGTGTGATCCTTGAAATAGCCAAGAAACCAGTCTTGGTTTGCTTGTTAGAACACCAAGTAAAAAAAAATACAGACCTTGTGACTGAGTAAAAAAAACAACAGAGATGAAAAGTCCCGTGGAGGAGAAACTCATGATCACATTCTTCTGCATCATATATTCCATTCTTACCAGAAATGGGGTTCTCTTTCCTCTTGCCTAACGGTCCAAGATCCTCACCTTCAATGTCAAAACTTCCATTTCCACAGATTATAATTTTCTTAGCTAACTTATCAGCTACTACGTTAGAAACCCTAGGAATCTTAAGGAAGTTGAAATGAAAAATCATTCTTGGCTTCATATCATTATATAAACTATATGTATGCATATCTAATTAATTTATCATGCTTCTATAATTTGGCTATACAGTACATTTATTAAATGTAGCTACCACCATAAACTTCACTTTTTTAAAAAAATTTCAACAATAAACTTTTTTCTATTCCAACAATAAACTTATTTTTTATTTCAACAATATCTTTTTGGCAATAACAATAATTTTTTTAACTCTAGAATTTCATTTCATGCATTATTATTATTTTTTATCAAATCATTTCATGCATTATAAGTAGACAAATACAGAGGTTTAAAACAAACCATGATTCAAAAATATATTGTTGAAGTTACAGTAGATAATTGTTGTAAAAAAAATAATATAATATATAGAACATTATTGTGATCTTGCAAAAGGAAAGTACTTTTGTTTTATTGTTATTTTGGTAATTTACTAAATTACATTTAAGTTTCTTTTCCATAAATACATTAGTTTTCTTATATGTCTCTCCTCATTTCATTTGCACGCATCTCTATTTTAGTGTAGTTTTCTACACGTAAATTATTTCCCTTATATTTAAAAACCTACCTAAACTCTATAAATATCTCATGTGGCCACCCAAAAGAAATTCCTCTTTATATTGGCATGTATCTCGTTTGTTTTGTTTTGTTTGTTATCACTAGTGGACCAGAATATCAGACATCAAGCTCCCATCTCATATTCTTTTATTACTATTATTATTATCTTTTTCTTTTCCCATCTCATATTCGACCTACCCAAACACCTTGTGGATCATAATCTGCAGGTGCCCGACCACTACATTCTCGAGATGACTTACACTATTCATTATTTGTAAATCTACAGGTTGGTACATTTCAAAATAGTTTTGTTTGTAAACTAATGTCATTTAATTATGTATTTCGAGTAAGCCATACTTATCTTGGTAACCAATGGTGTCCGTTAAAAAGCATATTGGCTTTTTTCCCCATATCGTATTGTTGTTAAGTAGTCTCGCCTTTTTGCTTTGTGACGTAAAATGATCTCATTAGTACTACTAGGCTTATACTTTTACATGCCTATACGTTAGGTCCCTGCTTCCTATCAAGATAATAGTTCTGTTATTTTATAATCGACTAAAATCCACCAGCATCGGTTGATAAAGTGATATAGTACTTATATAGATCGGTTTAGACGATCAATAAAATTTTCTAGCGTCAAAAATATATTAATAATAAGGTAAAATATTTATATGATTGAGGGGAAGCGAGCGAGTAGTACTTGAAACTGCCAAGTTAATTAAAGCGACAAAAATATAATCAAAGTGAACTTATGAGAGTTAGCACCCAACTAATTAATAAATGTTTTTACCTCTTAAAACACGAGTTTAGTACTCTATGGATTTCCTGTTTTTTAGGCAGATATGTTCATTCTTTGCACTTTAAAACAAACGCATTTGAATGCTCTTTTCTACGGAACACATGAAGACGTTATGAAGCTTCAAACAGACTTCATATATACACACAAACACACACAAGCAAGGAGAGATAACAAACCAAAACATAGCTCTTTTCTAACCTAAGAGAGTTTATCTTTTTTATGCAGAGAAACTGTAAATAATATGAAGCTTGAGAAAGCAAGGCCATTCATGGCCATTGTTTTCATTCAGTTTTTGTATGCATTAATGTCTATAGTAGCAAAACTTGCTTTGAACCAAGGTATGAGCCCTCACGTCTTAGTTGCGTACCGTATGGCAGTTGCTGCTGCTCTCATTACTCCTTTCGCCCTCGTTCTTGAGAGGTATTTTCTTTTTCTTCTTCTACTTCTTCTGGTTCAGGCCTGTAAAACAAAATCAAACATACACCATGAAGCTAAATAAATTTGTGCAGGAACTCAAGACCAAGGCTCACTTTCAAAATCTTGTTTCAAATATCAATCCTGAGTTTATTTGAGTACGACTCTGTTATATCATTTCTGATTCATAATGATAGACATTGACTCCTATGTGTAACTAGGTTAAAATGAAAAACTGCAGGCCTGTGGTCGAGCAAAATCTGTACTACTCTGGGATGAAACTTACTACTGCAACATTCACATCAGCTTTGTGCAATACACTTCCTGCAATAACATTTATAATGGCCTGCATTTTCAAGTACCTCTCCTCTCTTTTTCTCTACCAATATCTGTGAAAATGCATGCACTACTGTATTACTGAACCTTTTTTTACTGGGTTTCTGTTATCTTTGAAAGGCTCGAGAAAGTGAATATCAAAAGGCGTCACAGCCAGGCAAAGGTGGTGGGAACCATGGTGGCTATTGGTGGAGCAATGCTCATGACATTCGTGAAAGGGAATGTCATTGAGTTGCCTTGGACAAGCAAGTCAAGGGGCTATCATGGGCAGTCACATGTTATGAATACTCCAAAGCAGGATGATATAGGAAAAGGATCAATTATGCTTGTCGCAAGCTGCTTCAGTTGGTCATGTTACATCATTTTACAGGTAGAGTCCATTCCCTTTTCTTATTAACTTTCTGAAGCCCATGATCAATTCAAGAAACAGATAATATAACAGTTATATCTGCGTTGTGTCAGGACAACCGCTTCTGCTTTCATAAATCTTGCTAGCTAAATCCTCCACTAGTTTTAAGGCTTGATATGTTTCCCACCAGAATATCACTAGTAAATAAAATAGTCAAGTCACAGAGAGGTAGTAAGGTAAGGTAAGGTAACAGAGAAACTTATGTTTTTTTTTTCTCAGGCAAACATTCTGAATTCATATCAAGCTGAACTCTCGCTAACAGCACTAATGTGCTGTATGGGGATGCTAGAGGCTACGGTTATGGCATTGATATTGGAAAGGAACAACATGTCTGTCTGGAAAATCCACCCAGACATGGGGCTGTTAGCTTCGATATATGGGGTACTACAACTCTTATCTGTTCCTAAATTCTCTAGTAAAACCCCTTTGTGTGTGTGTGTGTGTGTGGTTACTGAGGGAAGAAGTTTTGTTGACTGTCACACAGGGACTTGTTTCAGGGGTAGCATACTATATTATCGGATGGGCATCAAAAGAGAGAGGGCCTGTGTTTGTCAGTGCATTTAACCCGCTCAGCATGGTTATCGTTGCTGTCCTCAGCTCCTTCGTTTTCTTGGAAAAGATGCACCTAGGAAGGTAAGAAAAAGCCTTGATCCACGACTACTATTTTGCGATAGATCGAAAGTTAGTGGTATGATTTTCACTAAATGGGGCTTCCTATATTTATAGGGTTGTTGGATCAGTTGTCATTGTCATTGGGATATATCTGGTACTATGGGGTAAAAGCAAGGACAAGGTAGGACATCTTCTACCAAAAGCTGGATGTGCAGGGACTGTGGTAATAGTTGAAGAACAGATGGTTCTAACGCCTGATAATAACCAAGTATTACCCAAAAGTGACCAGTTAATGATCATCCCAAAGGCCCCAACTCAGTCTCAAGAGTTGGTCTGAGATGCCGATTTTGTTCCAGTGTCTCTCTATATATTGCAGAACATTTTTGATAGTCTTAAATAGTATGTGGTTTGTCAGAATAAGAGCAAGAAATGCGCTGCATAAAGTCACAGAAGCTGTGTGCGTATTAAATTTTGGTACATGCTAGCAGAAGTTTAGATACTTCTGCTAAGGGAACTAGACTCGCCCAGACAAGGCTAGCATAGCTGTTCAAGGTTCTGAATTATTATTATTAGAAGCTATAGTTATAGAGAACAAGAACGGAAAGCCTACCAGTTGTTAATTCGTCTTCTCAAGATGCCAAAGTGACAGTATCCTTCCCATAGATACGCTGAAGCTCAAGGCTGGCAACTTGATAAGAGGCTGATGAAAACAAACAAAATTAGAAAAATCTTTTCAACTGGATAACCTACAAGGATTGGCTTTTTGTATCTTGTTTTATATAAAGCTGCTATATCAAATTAATATGTTTATGAAGCAATATTTATTACCTTTCCAGGTGTTGAAATTTTTGTGGTTGATAACAGATCCTGTTACATTTTGGATAGCATCGAACAACTTCTCCTGAGGTGTATTCTTCAGCTCTTGAACAACGCCATAAATGGTCTTTCCGTTTTCAAAGTATATGTGGTTATTTGGGTGCTTTGTTTTGCAATTAGCATGCTGCTCGAATTCATAAGCATTAAGAACCTGTTTGCACAGTTCAGACAGATGACACAAAAATTGAATCAAACAGACCTGCCAGTGAATTACTTAAACCATTCATATCACGTTGCTTACTTTCTTAAGGTTACAGTCGCCACAACCACATAGGTACCCAGTTCCCTTTATAACTCCTTTGAGATTTGTCTGCCAAATTATGTTTTAGCACACAGAATAGTAAAGGTGAATCGTTCCTTCTCAGGAAAGGTAAAAAAAGACAAACTGACCTCACGTGACCACGAGTAGTACTTCACAGTAACCCCATCAAGCATTCCTGTTGACAACAAAGACTTAACATTCGAAGGAAATGTGTTTGTAGAACCCTTCTTAGTTGTCTTTGAATCTTTACTTGTAGGCACGAGCAACGTATCAACTCCAGGACAAGCATAGGGTGGACTTCTAAATTCAAAAGACATGTTTTCCTCTGCCTCCATATGAAGCGGAACTTTAGTGGTTGCAGGGGCATGGCCGAAGTTATCATAACTGTTAATAACACCCATATCGGTTTCTCTCTGATATCCTCCAAAAGATATGGTCTTGGTTCTATCCTCGTGACTAACTCGATCATTGTTCTGGCCTGCTCTGTCTTGGCTAGAAACCATAAATGCCACATTATCATTCAGTTTGTCGCAAGGGAGAAGAGGCATGAAGTTCTCATGTCTCTTGATATAAGAGGGACTCATTGAGAAGAGATTAGAATCAGCCTTTTGAAGAGACTGAGTCATCAATGCGAAGTTTTCTACTCCTTCCACAAATGGATTCACTGTCGAGAAGAAATTTTCATCTCCTTTGTCATAACTGAAGTTTGGAATGAAATTCCCATCCGCTAACGGCCCTGGCAAGATGAAGCTGTTGTCAATATTACTGCAGGTTTGGCCAAAGGAGAGCGTGTCGTCTTGACCGTTATCATAAGAAGGGCCATTTTCAAATGATCTTGAAATTCCCTCACCATAAAACTGAACCATTGCTTCAGGTATGTTTCCAGATTCACACACTTCATTGACTGTAACCTTTCTACTGGCATCAAGATCAAATGAGCTACCATGAACCACCGGAAAACCAATTGATGAAACAGAACCGCATTGTTCCTCAATATTTCTGCCATGAAGATCTGATGTTTGCTGAACATTAGCAGGATCAAATAAGCAGTCAGTTAACTGTCTAGGCACAAGAGAACTCTCCCATGTAGATAAACTCATATGCGGAGTTAAGAAACCCTGACAAGAACCATCAATCTCTAACACCTGCCTCTTGCTACTAAACAGTTCAGAGCCGGACTCTTCTGTTAGCCACTGATGACTCCGTTTTAGCTCCATTCTAGAAGAACCAGAACATGGAATCTCCTCAATATCCCGTCTGCCAAGATCCTTTCTCATCCTCTGTGACAGAAAGGAAATAAAAAACAATAACCACACTCGTTGCATTGTACAAGAAATGAAACCACACTGCTACAGAAAATGAAGGCTCTCAAAGAACAGAACATTACACAAATGAAAACTTCTTAGGCATATGATAAAGCAAACTCCTTTGAGATTGGCCAAGAGGAGTACAAAAATAAAAAGCATAACCTAATCGAAAACTTGTTCTTCAGAATGAAAAAAATAGGCAAGGAAGGATCTTCTAGAACCCTAAAACCATCAAAAGTTTTTACCTTTACATCACTGGGAACGAGATTTCGTAAAAGTTACAGTCTTAAGTAGGCTACAACGCGCTTTTGTGAGATTTGATCGCCGGAGAAGTCAAAACCCAGAATCCAAGTCACCAAGAGAATTCGAAAGATCGGAGCTTTTTAAGAGAACGAAACTTCAATTCCGAGTTTAAAAGGATCATCAAAAGGGATTCGTATCGTTAAAGAGTAAGTGGGAGAGTCTATAAAGATCAAATTTTGCAATCCCAAATACAATTTACAACTCGTAATGCCCGCCAAGCTTCAGTGAAAACTATCTGTCGTGTTGATGTAACATGATGATGATGATCATGATCATGATGTGTGAAGACTTTATCTGATTGTCATGATGATGATGTTAAGTGAAAACTATCTGTCGTGTTGTTGGTTAAAATATCATGAATCTAGGACACTATTGAAGGTTGTCTTGAGAGGAACAGTATTTCTTATGCATGTTCACTTTTCCATAAGTTTGTCGGAAGGACTTTATGATGAAAGGTATTACACATTTTAAGAACATATGATCTTTTTAAGTAGCATATAGTGATGGAAGTAATAGTAGTAGTCCAAATAGGATGGGGTTTTCCAAAAACATTTATTGGCTTACATAGGAGCACTCTCACCCTTTGACATAAGAATAAAACTATGTATGAGAATCAAACAAGCCTATAAATGAACTACATTTCATTGAGTTTCGTCCAAAATCCAGCTGCAAAAAATGGGTGTGTCTTTTTACCTGCCTTTCTTTGCCATTTTATGATTCTTGCACATCCTAATACTAAGAGGTGTAACTTCCACTAGTTCATCCTCTTCTATGTATTCGATGCAGTCGTCAAGACTATAAGTCAAGGGAGTGTCAAGAACCACTGTAATAAAAAAAAAAAAAATGTCAGCATAGGAGATTAGATTAGATTTGAGAGACTTGCACAAGTACTCTTAAGGTTATATAGAAATATTACCTGTTACATCTTTGTTGGATCTTATGTTTGTGGCTGCTTTCTTCTTGCAGATATTGAGTCCCAAGTCCCCAGGTCTCTGGTGGATTCCAACTATCTGACCTTTGTATACATCCACACCTGCACCTACAAACATTTGCCCTCTCTCTTGCGAACTTGCTAGAGCATATGAGGTTGATGTTCCATCTTCAAAGGCAACCTGAAAGGCAAAATGGCACATGTGTCAATCATAAGTTCATTTCCTAAAAACTATCTCTCAACTCTCTAACTTACCAGTGAGCCCAGGTCACGGGTGCTAATATCTCCAGCCCAAGGTCCATAACTGTCAAATACGGTGTTGAGGATGGCTGTCCCACGAGAAGCTGTTAAAATTGCATTCCTCAATCCAAGAAGTCCACGTGTTGGGATCTTGTACCGCAGAAACACTGTTCCTTCCGACCTGGATTCACAACGCATATTCAGATTAATCTTGATATCTGCAAACCGTAGTTAATATGGGAAAAGAGAGAGAAACGCTCAGGCATCTCTCACACACGTAGCGCCTTGCAGCATATGAAGTAAAGGGATGGAGAGAAACAAAAACATACCCAACACCCTGCATATCAAACATCTGTCCACGCCTTTTCCCAAGAAGCTCAACAACAGGCCCCATGTGATTCTCTGGTACTTCAACAGTTGCTACCTCATAAGGCTCCAGCAATTTATCGTTGACCCTTTTGTTGATAACTTTCGGTGGTCCTACCATAAATTCATATCCCTCTCTTCGCCTGGGAACATATTATATGATCAGCTATTTTCAGTATCACACATGAAAGGAATGATGGTCCAGTGAAGCACTTACATGTTTTCTATCAGGATGGTAATGTGTAATGTGCCTCGCCCACTGATAATGAATGTGTCTGCTGTCTCACCATCTTCCACTTTCATAGCTAGATTTCTTTCAAGTTCACGGTTTAGACGGTCTCGTAAGTTCCTGCTCGTTACATACTTCCCCTACAGAAAAAAGGAAGTATAATTCAAATGTTGCACTAAATCCAATTTACAACTTCCCTCTTAGTAATCATTAGCCATGCATTCATGTAAAGTGAGAACAGTCATATCAGCCATGATTAACACCTTACCTCACGACCAGAAAACGGAGAGGTGTTTACAGAGAAGGACATTTTCACAGTTGGCTCTTCTACTTTGATTGTAGGTAGAGGCTTCCCATGTACTTTATCAGCAATAGTCTCTCCAATCTGTAGATTTAATTGGGGTATACAAGGACGTTACAACTCAATTAGCAACCAAAAAAAATGAGAAGTGGCAGCAAGCAATTATTCAGCAGTTACAACAGTCTCTCACATTTGGCATATCAATGAATATACGTGTACCTGAATGTCATCTATGCCACATACAGCGCAAATATCTCCAGCTTCCACTGTATCAGCAGGTACTCTGTAGAATTTCTCATAAACAAAGAGCTCACTCACTCTTGCAAACCTACATGAATCTTCAGAAGTGCACACCTGTAAAGTCATACCCAATAAGTTTACAATAAACCATCTGCTTTACAATGTGGAAAGACTTGAGAAAATGACTAGCTTAAGTGATAATATTTTGCAATGAGCCCAAATAATTGATGTCCGATAATAAAGGAATAAGCTAAAGATTTGTTAAAATGTTACCCTAACATCCATTCCTTTGCGCAGTGCCCCTGCGTGTAGCCGCCCAATAGCAATACGTCCTTTATGCTCATCATATTCGATATTTGTGGCCTGGAGAGAAAAAAAAATATTGTTTCATACAAGTGAATATCTACTCAACTCAACTAGAGTGTCTGATACTGAAATTTCTTTAACATTTTGGTCTAGGAACATCCCTGTGATGAGATAAATTAATCAATTTGTAGCTTAGTTTAGAGAAAGTGACTGGTTTTAGAAGGTGAGAGACAAGTATTTGATGTGTACGTTTTGGCCAAGGAATGAAAGGATAACAATGAATTGGCACTGGCTGAGAACAAACACATGAAACGCTAAAAATGACTATTAACTTACAAGCATCTGAAGAGCACCATCTTTTTCAATATTTGGGCCAGGCACACATCTAATGATAGCCTCGAACAGAGGTCCCAGGTCTTCTGCAAGGTCATCCGGAGTAAGCCCTGCCTTTCCTTTGATCCCGCTAGCATATATCGCTTGGAAATCACACTACACGCCACACACACACACCAAGAAGAAACACTAACGTTAGTGTCACACGAGAAACAACACGAAGGATAGACAAAGCAAAATTAACAATACCTGTTCATCAGTAGCATTTAGTTCAATAAAGAGCTCAAACGTGGAATTGACAACAAACTCAGGACGAGCAGAAGGCCTGTCAATCTTGTTTACGACCACGACAACTGCATGTCCAAACTCAAGAGCCTTCTTTAAAACAAATCTTGTTTGAGGCATTGGTCCCTCAACAGAGTCCACCTAAAGAAACAAGGGGAAGAAAGAAAAATGAGAGATGCAGAGCAGCTTAAAGTACTTTACAGTAGAGCATTACTGAGACAAAGCATACCACAAGAAGCACTCCGTCAACCATGTTCAAGACACGCTCAACTTCACCACCAAAGTCAGAGTGGCCAGGAGTATCAATAATATTCACTTTTGTGTTTTTATAAGTGATGGAAGTGTTTTTGCTGAGAATAGTGATTCCTCTTTCACGTTCAAGGTCATTTGAGTCCATGATCCTCTCTTGCATCACTTGGTTATCTCTGAATACCTACACAAGTAAGGATAAGAATAAAGCAAAACGAGACTAACTTTTCTCAACAGGTTGGGTAATTAAAAACCAAATTAGTCATTTGCTATTGTTACCTTAGCTTGCCTAAGCATAGAATCAACCAAAGTAGTTTTGCCATGATCAACATGAGCTACAATTGCTATATTCCTCACGTCATTCCTCCTCACCAAAGTCTTCTTCTTCACCTCTATCATCCAGAAAAAAAGTGACTTCAATACTTCATTCAGAGAACCAATCAAAAGAGAGAAGCTAAGTGACAAAAACACTAAACTCGTTCCTTCAACAAAACCTAAAACCAATATCTGCAGAAAAACTACCGGAGGATGGTTCGGCGGTTGATGGAGAGACAGAGCAAGTGATGGGACGGTGAAGCGGACGAAACCGGAGAGCTCCTCCTGGTTTAAAAGCAGAAGCAAAGCTTACGCCGAGCACTTGTTGCTTGTGAAGCAGAGGAGTAGCTTGCCTCCTCAAAACCGCTGGAGAAGCGGAAGAGGTGCTCAAGCTCAGCTCCATAAGGATTTATTTGGTTGGAGAGGAAAAAAAGCTGTTGTTTGTTTTTATTTATTCCTTAGAAGGATTGCGAAGCCACTTTGCGTTAAGACAAGTCGCTTTCGTGTGGAGTAGTTGGAGTAGGTTAAGCCACGTCTGACTCTTCAGCTTATCTTTGTGTATTTTCTATTAAACTGATGTTTTCGACAATAACATGGCGCAGCAAGTCTTGCATTACCGTTCCAAGGACAAAACATAAACACGGTCGTATAATTTACATCAAATAGGAGTATATAAAAAAAGTAGTGAGAATATTGCTCCACCACAAATATCATCCCAGGCTTCTTGTGACTTGAGCATCGTGATGATGATGATGACCCTGATGATGATCTCGCACGCAAGTAGTGATGATGATCTCGCACGCAAGTATAAAGCTGAAAGCTCAAAGAGATCAAAATATTCACAGCTTCAAGTCAATACGTTCAGACCAGTCGAATATACCAGAGTGGACCTGGTCATGTCCTAGATCTGACCCGTTACCTCCGGTGGCAACCCTCATGATATCCTCGATCAACGCAAAGTTTCCCATGATATCAACATGAGCTCCACTCTGGGTCCCCCGCCCTTCGAGCAGGTTAGCTGGTGGAGAGTGGTTGTATTCTCTAATGTAAGTCTTGATTCCTGAAGGGTTGAATCTTGTCTTGCCACGCCATGCTTTAGCACACATGAACCCTGCGCTTAGGACTGGTACTGTTTCATCTCCATCCACATTGTAAACTCCTGCTTTCAGACAACTTTCTTCGTCCTCCTCGTGTGCGGATGTGAAGATATGAAAGGGGATGCAGCTGTCTGGAGACTGATTGAGTTTGTAGATGTACGATCGTTCTGTTGGTATCCCAACTCCATACAATGAGTAGATCTCCATTTCAGGGGCATTGGGTAACCTGAAACAGCAGAACAAACCAAACTAAACTCCTCTAAAACTAGTATTATTTGTTGATTTATTTCAAATCACCCTAAAGCTGGTATTATAAGCAAGCGTCACATGTATCAACTTTGAACCTAAATATAACTAAGCAAGCATTTTACGAGAAAGACTCAAATATCTTTTAGCTTTAAGTTGATAAGCATATTCAACAAGTTGAAATAAAAGACATCATGCTAAAGCATAAAGTTGGTACCAAAACAAAATCACTTACTTTGTTTCCAATGGATTGGACCAGTGTCTGTGATGTTCGTACTTGGGGTCATCTAAATCATCAGCAATTCCATAGGAGAAATGAGCAGCACCACGCGCCATCATCTTGGGAGCAACATAATTTAATAAATCTATAACCGCGTCGGCAGTGTAGACTTTATACTCAGCAATAGCTTTGATCCCTCCAATTCCCATATCATGATACTCTGTCCACACATCACGACATGTGTTATTAGGGATACTCTGACCTTTGACCGCACCCTGCACCAAAAGTAAAACGTACTTATCAACTACCTAATCAAAAAAAGTACATGAGCTTATTATATGTCCTTACTCGAAAGTCAATATTTTCAATCTCAGATGGCGGAGCCTCGGCTACTTCTTTCCCAAATGATATAATTCTTCCGTAGTTAACAGGCTTTGTCTTGTTTTCACCAGCTTCTCCGCGAGTCTTGTTGTTCTTTTGCTTTTTCCCAGAACATGTGTGGCCTTTCTCCGGCGACCAATCAAGACCACCCCATATTGTGTCACCTCCCTTAGGTATCATAGACATTGTTGAGTCCCATGTGCGTGTCATTCTCATTATGTGCTGCAACGTCTGAAGTCTAAATATATCAGTGTCTAAGAAACCTGGGGCAATCGCTCTGCAATTTTGGAAAAACAGTTAGAGCCTTATTAATGAACCAAGCAAAGCAACTACAAGTGCAACTAAGCCAACCATCCTATACTTAAGCAGAAATAAAAAGACCATTGACTCATACAGGAAACCTGAGATAAGTAAACTGGAAAAGAATGGCAAAATATGATGCCCACAAAAAGACAACATGACGAGTACTCTCGTCAAAGGTTAGAAACTAGACAGGACATGGGAGCAATGTGTAAGAAAAGGAGATGATGCCGACTCCAAATGTTTCTTTCAGTAGGTCTATACTAAAATTGCATAAAAATGATGAGGCATTCTTTGTCGCACTGGCACAGAAAGAGGTCATTATCAAGTCAGATACTTGTTGCTAAAGAAGAAGATTTGCACACCTAGCTAATCAAAAACAGCAAAAATCAGAATAATTAATATACATATGAAATCTCCCTTTACTTATATAAAACTGAAAATCTTTTAGAAGTTCACTCTATCACCTAACATCCGTAACCATCATTCTCAAGTTCATCAACTGTTTGAATCTCAAGAGAGTTCCAGTTTCATAAGCAGCAAAACTAACCAACCAAAATATTGTAGAAGAGGCACAACTACTAAAATTGATATCTAGCATCCGTTCAAGGCCAAAACCAAAATCAGCTATTCAATACCTGGCAACTGCAACATCCTTTGCTTCAGCAGAGAAAAGCCCTGCAACAGCTTTTGGAACACCAAGAAATGGTCCACCAATGTTCATCACCGCCTTTATATGCTTGGCACACCAATCAGGCCCACCACCGCCACCCATAGGAGCTGGTGCCTCAACCCATTTCATGAAATGTAGAAAATATAAGACCCCCATGGAATGGGGAACTATAACTGCTTTTTTTCCACCGTTGGTGGAAACCATCAACTCTATATTACTTTTCATACGGCTAAGCGTCTGGTCACGCACCTAATAGTTCAACATATGAAAGAAATTTAGGCCCAAGGGATAAACAAGAATAAGGGATTTAGTTTATGAGAGAAGAACCTCAGTGTTTTGAAACGAAAGCCTCCAATCATACGCAGCCATGTACATGTTTTTCTCCTCATATCCAATATGTGCAAGGTTAGCAATCAGCACTGCCCAGACAAAGTATCCAGGAGCAAAGTAATCAGCCGCCACGAGTCCTGATACAGCTCTAATCCTAATACCAGCAGGATCCAACCCAGTTTCGTTGTCAAGTGACATGTGTTCCACCCAACATAGAGGCCTAAACCAAAGAAATTATCAATTATTTATAGATGCTATGATACAATAACACTGTTCGTCTCTAACAGAGCATCAACGATTTAAAGAAGAAAGATGCAGATCCATAACAAACAACAAAGTAGTTGCAACCTTAAAAGCCGATTTTAAATCTATTGCAGCTAGGAAGGACTTAATAGGTAGCTAAGTTCAAGAGATATAACTATACCAAATTCGGAAACTTCTGAAAATCTCATTTTTTCAGTTCTCAAAAGAACTTTGAGAAAAGCACATCACAAGACAAAAGAAACTAACTTTAAGTTGCACTTGCACATGCACTTAGTTGAATAATAAAGCAACCATCCTCTATCACGGTTTAAAACACACATCTTTCACAAAGTGTAGGTAAGACTTTCACATCCTAACATAAACAAAAAAAAACATACTACTTCAGTATACACTCCGTTCAAGCAAGCTAAATCCAATTACAATAAAGGAAGCAACTTCTTAAAAACGGAATCTAAGGCATGTCTACTTCCCTTACACAAAACACATACACAACATAAATAGTAAAGTACCTAAAGAAGATAGCTTTTTGCACCTAAAAAGCAACTAGCAAATGAAGACATATAATACTCAACAAAGCAGCAAAGTGCGTGAGATCCAACGCAAAATCCCAATATAAAAAAAAAACTAAAAAACAAAGTTCCACCTTTTGTAAACTTCACCAAAAGTCCCACCCCACAAGCGTTTCCTAAACAAACCATCAGCACACTGTTTCCCTTCCCAAAGCTCAAGTCCTCCGGTAACAATCCCCGGAATAAAAACCACAGGATGCTTCGCCTTGAGACCTTCTTTCTTCAGCTTCACGCCCGGCGGGTCGGGTAAAGGACCCGTGATCGCCTCCGTTACATACTGAGGGAAGCTCGCGGGCATGGCGTTGTATAGAAAGAGGAGGAACCACCACGTGAGGCACACGCATCCGATGAACCAACAGCACGAATCCAAACACGACCACTTCACCTTTTCGTTCGGTTTCTTATGGCTTTTCGAAGATTTGCTCTGTGAATCGTCGTCCGGCGGTGGAAGCTCCTCAGGAGGCGGTGAAGGTTTCTCCGACGGTTTTTTCCGTTGAATAAGGGAGGACATTTCAGACACGTGATGTAAAACCGAAACTAGGTCAAGAGGGGACCTTTTGTCCCTTGTTGAATCTCAAACCCTTTTTTGTTTTGGGGAATTAGGGATTTTAATTCAGTCGAGACAAGGAACTGATTTGCTGCGATTTTTTTTTTAAAAAACTAATTAAGTTTGTTTGTTTTTTTCATGACAGCTTTTGCTGACATCCAGCTCGGACCGGATGGTAAATTATTGACCAGTTTGCTCCTAATTGCGGTTCATGTTTTGGACCGACACCCGTCTTAGAAATCAGTTTTGTACTTTTGTAATGGACTTTTTTATTATTTTTTTGTTCATCTTTTGTAATGAATTATCTGAATGACAAACATAATAAACAGTTCATAAAATTTACACTCTTTTTGGTTATACCATTTTGGTTTTAGTTGACTGGGACTTTTATTGGCACTTTATAAATTTCAAAACTAAAATAACTGTCTTACCTAATAAAATTAAAAAAAAAACAATAATATTGAATAGAAATATTTTTTTTTATAAAAATGTTATAAGTTATAGAAATTGTAGAATCAAGATCAAGATGTTCTTAGTGACTTCCATATTTTTATCGTCATAAAGATCTATATATAAAGTATTAAATTTTAGCATATGTATTAATATCATTAGATTTTTATAAATATTAATATGTTATCTAGATCTTGGAATATAATTATTCCAACCAAATATGTATACAAATCAGTGGTTCAACATGACTTGGTAGGAGACAAATTATATATATGATGACATGATCTTCTAATATAAAGGAAACTAGATTTTAATCCGCGCAACCGCGCGGGTGTTTGTTTTCGTTTATAGTTAGTTATATAAACATTTTGTTTTCACTGAAAAATTGGTATATATCATAGTAATCACATATTTACGATATTTATAGTAAATGTTTTTCAAACATAATAATATTATATAATACGTGTTTTAATCAAATAGATTGTTTCAAATTTTTTATATTATACATGTTTTTCAAATATGTGTTTATTTCTTCTTCTATATTTTATTGTAGGGATATATATTAATCAGATAAATATATGAATTCATGGACAAAAATTATGCCTGATGGTTGATGAATTGAGACACATCATGGTATAAATTTAGATAGAGTATTTCAAGGACGAAAGATGTTAAAAGACTAATAACGTAAAAAACATATATACATGAAAGGACCAAGAGACATGAATTATGACTTAAAGCAAGTGTATGAGAAAAAAATTGACGTGATGAAACTCTTGTAAAAGTATGATCATGATGACATTATTTTGTGTAGAGTTAAATGATCATACATCTACTGACATATGTTGATAGTATAAGGTTTAAGTAAGCTTAATAATAACATTAATGATAGAATGATTAAATCTGATGAGTTTGTAGTAGATAGTCCAAAATTAATTTTTAATTATATTATGATAATATAAATTTTATGAATGAAGAAGAGAAGATGTAAATACAATACTATTAAAAAGTCACTAATAGTAATATATAAGGACCACCCAATTTTGTCTATAATTCACCACTTTCTCTACCACACATAAAATATTATGTAAAAATATAATAGAAGTCAAGACATTTTTTATATGTGATTTTTAATTTGAACCATTTTTATAAAATTTATAATATTTTATACAGTTTAGTTATGATATCTTTATTTTTATTTGAAATACAAAAAAAATAATTAAAGAATATTCTAACAAAATATTTTAAAATCTTAATTGTCATTAAACGTAATTAGTAATTAAATTTTAATTTCGTTTTGATTATAAAGAAAAAGGAAATTATATAAATATTTTAATTATGTTTAATGATAATAACAGTTTAAAATGATTAATTTTCAAAAATGCATTTTACATTGTAAATAAAGAATGTTGATTTCATGACTTATTTTATGTGTGATTTTTTTTCTTAATTTATACTACTTATAAGTCATAGTTTTAAATATGTCTATAATATAACATTAAAATTTATGTCATTCATTTTTAACACAAACTAATAAAAATAATTAACATATTCCAACGTTAAGTGAAACACAAAGCTAATAAATTTTTTTTTACTATTCTTATTTAACTCGACTTTACTTGTGAATAAATTTCACTTGTGTCTTTTTCTAATTACAATGAATTGATATCTATTCATTTTTAAAAATTTAGTATATTTTTAAAAAAAAAAGATTTTAAAAGATTTTGTTAGAATTCTCTTTAAGATATTTATTTTATTTCAAATAAAAGAAAAGATATGAAAATATATGTAATTAAGTTATGTAAAATGTTACTAAGATATAAATGAAACATTACTTCCTAGGAATGGTTCATTTTAAAAATATCACACATGAATAGAAGTTATGACTTCTGTTTTAATATAATAAACTAGATCTCAACCCGCGCAACCGCGCGGATATTTGTTTTCATTTATTTCTATATATTTATATATTTTACTTCTAAATTGGTATATATTATATAAGGTGTGTATATCGAAAATGATGATTAATTATTATATAGTATAGATTAATTATTATTAGAAAATGATGATTCTGTTATTTTTAAAAATAATATATATAATTTTTAAATTTAACATCAAAAATATATAAATAATTAACTTATACTATTACAATATTAAATTATATAATTTTAATTTAAACATGTATTTTAATATAATATCTATAAATCCAATGGATCATCTAATTTTTATTAGCCCAATAAAAATTTCTAGTAAGCCCAATAAATGTTATTAGTGAATCTAATGAATGTTATTAATGATTGAATAGTGTCATGTTATAAATTCTATTAGATGGTCTATTTTAAAATATCACACATGAAGTGAAGTCATGACTTCTCTTTTAATATATAAGATATTACTGACACCAAAAATTACAAATAATGCTGTAACTATTAAAAGTAGGTGGATATTTATCTAAAAATAAAGAAAATGAGGATATTTATAGAAACATGAAATGAATATAGATTTGGTTCATGGAAGTATATCTTAATGAGATGTGACCAAAACTATATTCACCATTTCACTGGATTCCTTTCCTAAATCCACCTATAATATTATATAACTAGCACCATAAAGTTATAAAAATAATGTTGTAGTTATCTAAGAGTAGATGATTTTTTGAAGAAAAAATAAAGAAAAAGAGAATATTTACAGAAACATGACTTGACTATAGATTTGGTCAAAAATATATTCACCATTTCCTGGATTCTTTTCTAAACTCCACCTATATTTTCATCTCTTACCACCTATATATATATCCACATGCTCTCAAAAAAAAAAAAAAGGATTAAAATTTCATATCTGCTTAGTGAAAAAAAGTTCATGGATTCCTCATCTTCTTCATCCAACATATCCATCACGAGAGAAGAGTATAATGCTTTCTACAAGTTTGACAGAGCTCTTCTCTCTCGTATCGTCATAAGTCTAAGTGGAGACGTTAGCATGGCTCTTCAGGTCATGTCCTTTCTCATCTATCTCGAGAAAAGAAATATCGGGAGCAACCTAATCGTGGATCTTGTTTCTTTACCCGAAAGTTCCATCGATGCCCTCGTTGACGAAGTTAGGACGTGTATGAGTTGCTTGTCCTACGAATTTTTCCCAACGTTCGTGAGCACCTTGAGGAACACCAACGACTTATCCCTACCTTGGATCAAGCGTGTGACTAAAGAGAACTTGACTCTCGGAGTCATTCACGTGAAGCGAGAAGACATTCTCAATAAGATGACAGAATATTTAACGACTATATGCTACCCAGCTTTTGAGGATATATGCGTGCGTTTTGAGACGCTCAACAAGGAGGATATGTATACATTTAGCCAGTTCTTGTGTGGTCAACATGTAACAGCAGGAACAAGAAACGTTGAGGGTCAGCACGTATCGGCAGATGACAGGACTGTCTTCCTCATATTTTCCAAAGGATATCCAATCTCTAAATCCGAAGTGCATGCCTACTTCACCAGGTACTGAATCCATTTTAGAAGCCATGCATGCAAGGCCAAGGCCATTCCTAGCTTTTCTGTACATAAAAAATAAGGTTGTATGCTCATGCTCTCAAGTATCTAACTAGCTAGAACCCCATATTTTGATAATTTCACTATGTTTAGGTTTAACAACATAATGTAACACATTTAGTATTTACGATCTACACAAGCCGTCTCAAAAAAAAAATTGGACCCTTGGCAAAACTATACTTTTTTTTTACATATAATTATGATATCTCAAAATGTTTTGGACTCTTATCTAATTTTTTTTAAAAAATATGAACCATTTTTCAATACTATTTATGCTAAAAATATTTTGGGCCCTGGACCTATAGCCCATGCCTCTCTTGCCACCTTTCAGAGACGGAGCTGACATTTTAAACCGTTATGTCTGGAATGGTTTGGCATGGCTTTTCATGTATGTGGTTTAAGGTTTTCATGGTAGTGTGTTTTGAACAGAAGTATATTTTTTTGGTGTTGTAGGAGATTTGGAGAAATTGTTGAAGCGATCAACATGGCTAATGAGGGAGGGAGATATGCAACCATGGTGTTACGTTCTGCCGCCAAGATTCCAGAGATTGTAAACGATGGAGTTGACAAGACCAAATTCATTATTAATGGAAAATTTGTTTGGGCTCAAAAATTCATTCCCAATCACAAATCCGTTAACTATAACTAATCATATTTGATCTTCCCATGGAGTCTCTTTCCAGTTACATATATTATTCTTGTTTGATCTTGAAAAGTTCTGAAGGGCATGCATGTGCCCACTTCAATTCTTCAAAATTTGGGACCTATTTTAATTTGGATTGGAGACTTTGTTTGGTTGGTGACTTTACATTTATTTCAAAACTATTTTACATGGACTCAAATTAGTCAGTTTGCATATTTTTCAATATCTATATTTTTCCTCTTTAAGCAAAATATAATCTCACTTATGTCCAATGGCTATGCTAATCTTTACATTTATATGATGGGCACTCTTTCATCCAAAAGGCTCTGTCAGTAATCGCCCCTAAACATTATTTGCGAAATGATTTGTATGAGTTATCACCACATTCTTTCTCAACAAGAAAAATATGACATGCCTTTAGAAAAATACGACATGACATCATCTTAGTTGTGACATGTATAATTTTGGTTATAATTTTTTTTTTTTGACAAACTTTTTTTAAATATGGTAATGACTAATTACTCTTATATCAACATTAAAATAAAATTTATAAATGAATATTTTTTTGCATCAAATTATATATATATATATATATTTATATATATAACAATTCATATCACCATTAAAATAAATTATATACATCGCAGTTGATAAAAAATAATCTAAGTACAATGACAACTACATCTTACATCAAATTATATATCATATTTTGTATATCTCTATAATATTATTTGAGAAGTCAGTTTCTTACGTGTCACGCTCATGTTAACTCTCGCGATGGTTGATTACATAGATACCCTTAATGAATTGTTAGATTTTAAGATTATTATTAATTTTTTATTTAGTTTCTTTTTACCTTTTTTCCAAATAATATATATAATAAAAAGGAAATATTTCTAAAATTTGAAAATCAATTAAAAACGAAAATATATGTATATAATATGAATTTATTAAAAAGGATCACAAAATAGTAATACCCCCATTAATATATTTATTGCATTTTAAGCACAATATATATTAAGTTATACATAATTTAACTATAATATTTACATATCTAAAACTATAACCAACCGAAATGAAAATAAGAAAATTAATTAAATTTTATTATATTTAGATTAGAAAATGCATAGCTGAATTCAAAAAATAGATATTATCCAATATACCAAATTGATAACCAAACCGACTATTGATCCAAAAATAAATAAACAGCCAATAATATATCCAAAGTCATATGTATAATTAGAATAACATAATATTTATTAATATAAATTATACATATAAACTGATTTAAAACTAAAACTAAATATCAATCAATTATTATAAAATTTTACTTTTATGAATATTCATATCCGTGCATGTGCACGGGAAAATCACCTAGTATATATATATTAACAAAAATTAATTGTCAGTGTACATTAACAAGTACAAAACTAAAGCAATTTTAATCAAAAAAAAATTGTTGATAGTTAAATGATCAAAGTTTATATTGATTCATTAATTAACATATTAATTTTACGAGTTTAAGCGTATTTTGGCTATACTAAAAAAAATCCAAAACATATTATAATTTACAGACACATTTAAAACTAAGGATTTGAAGACATATTTAAAATAAATATCATAAATTATAATATAATATAAATATAAAAATATCGTTATAAATGTGATTTTAACACTGTTGAGATTCAAATAAAATCAAATTCGAGATTTATGTCAAGTAACAAAAAAACATATTTCAGTTTTTTATTAAACTGGTAAAGTAAAATTATAAAAAATAACTAGAACATAGAAAAATAATATAATATTATATTTACATATCTCTGTGCATGGCGCAAGAAAACTGCTAGGATTGTTATGAAAAGAAAGACATTCAGCTGTGATAATCTAACTTCAAAAGATGCATAAACCGACTTGTTTTGTCCGCAAAGATGATGCAGAGAATAAGGAACATAGTAAAATTCTCATTCCTAAAACTGTGACTATCTTCGTCAACAAACTCCCGCATCTACATCTACAAATACAGTTAAACCTCTATAAATTAATAATGTCGGAACTTTGAAATTTTATTAATTTATAGAGATATTAATTTACCAAAATTTCCTTATTTAGATTTTTTTATTTTAAGATATATTTATTCTAAAATAAGAAAAATATTTTATTTTAGTGTATTTATATTTATTATCATTTTTGAAATTTGACATTTATATTAAATTTCTTTTATTATTTGGTGTATATATAATATATATTTCATAGAATTTAAATAAGGTTTTAGATATAATATTACTAAATCTCATCAACAATATATTAAGTGTCAAGAAAATAGAAAGATAATTCCACTATAAATATAAAACAAACAATATGATAATAGGTTCTTACTTATATAAAACACATATAAATATAAATTATTAATTTATAATTTTAATGGGACCATATTTTTACATAGAACTTTCTAAAAAATTATTATCTTATTATTTTATCGATTTGTGTTAATTTTTGAACCAGTCCAAGTTGAGATCGACAAAATTTATTAATTTAGAGAGATTATTAATTTATCGAGTATTAATTTATAGAGGCTTTACTCTATGTTTTGGTGAAATGAGGGAAGGAAAATATTAAAATAACATAAAAATATAAACTACAATTTAGTGGGCTGGAGGCCCAGCACCTTCTATTATAAATAGAATTTTATTAACTGACCCTAAAACTGTAAGTAATATTGTAACTATTTAATAAATATGTGTTTTTCTACACCATGTGCAGTAGAAAATATTTTTTAACAGATAAATATAAGTTATATTTAAAATAAAATTTTTATTAATACTGTAATTTTTTCTTTTTCTTATCAATATTTTAATATAAATTTGATTTAATTAAACATAAAAATTAAGATAAAATAATTTTGTTTTTTAATTATATTTAAGAATATGTTTGTATGTATTTAAAATTATAATCTTAGATAGATTTTTTATTTATTTAGTTTAATTATGTATGTTAAATAAATTTTTAAAAATTTCATAATTATCAAAAATAAAACTAAAATTAAAATTAAACAATATTTATAAAATTTGTAGATATATAAGAAACTAATGATTTTATGATTAAATTTTTATAATTTTCTAAAAAATTGTATGCATTTGTGAAAGTTTTAGTAATGAAATTGTATAATTTAAATATATATAATTGAATGATATTTCGAAATTTCTAATGCAATATTTAAATATATTTTTTTTAATGATGATTTATAAGTTATTACCATATTCTCAAAAAAAATTCCAAATATATATCGACATTAAATGTAATATAATAGTTATTACTATATTTTAAAAAGTTTACAAAAAATATAAATTAACATTAATGTAATTGTCCATGTTATATTGTATTATAAGCTATGTCATCAATTTTGGTAGTCATGACATATTATTTTTGTGAAAAAATCATTGTAAAGAGGACATGTGGCAAAATCATTTCTCAAATAATGTATAGGGGATATAAGATATTAATAGAAAAATAAAGAAAATGAGGACATTGACAGGAAAATGAAATGAATATAGATTTGGTGCATGAAAGGTATCTCTTAATAAATAAAATGAGATATGACCAAAAATATTATTCACCATATCACTGGATTCCTTTTCTAAACTCTACCTATATTTTCATCTCTTACCACCTATATCCATCCACATGCTCTCAAACGAAAAGCAAAAAGATTAAAAATTTCATATCTGCTTAGTGAAAAAAAAAAGTTAATGGATTCTTCATCCTCAGTACTATCCATCACGAGAGAAGAGTTCAATGCTTTCCACAAGTTTGACAGAGATCTTTTCACTCGTATTGTCATAAGTCTAAGACTTAACATTACTCTCTCTTTTCAAGTCATGTGCTTTCTCATCTATCTCGAGAAAAGTGTTCCCATGAGCAACCTAATCTTTAATCTCGTTTCATTACCGGACCTTTTCATCAACACCATCGTTGACGAAGTCGTCATGTGTCTGGATTGCTTATCCTACGATTATTTCCCAACGTTCGTGAACACCTTGAGGAACACCAACTCCTTATCCATACCTTGGATCAGGCGTATGACCAGACACAACTTTACTCTCGGAGTCATCCACCAGAACCGCAAAGACATTCTCCTTGACATGAAGAAGCATTTAACCAGTATATGTAAACCAGCTTTTGAGGATATATGCGTGCGCTTTGAGATGTACAACAAGGAGAAGATGTATACGTCTAGCAACTTCTTGTGTAGTCAACAAGCAACAACTAATCATGCAGCAGGAACAAGCAATGTTGAGGGAGGACAACAAGTAACGGCTGAGGACAGGACTGTCTTCCTCACATTCTCTAAAGGATACCCAATCTCTGAAGAAGAAGTGTATGCCTATTTCACCAGGTAGTACTGAATCCATTTAATTATAAGACATGCATGCATGCAAGGCCAAGGTATTATTTAATTAGCTAGGACCACATTCGATGTTTTAGAATTTACCATGCATTATATTCTTCTAATTAAAAATGTAAGACAATCACGGCCATGCATGCATGTGTGTTTAAAGTTTTCACGGTAGTGTGGTTTAAACAGTAGTATACATTTTTGGTAGGAGATTTGGAGATATTGTAGAAGCGATACACATGGGTGGAGTAGGAGGGAGGAACCAAGCGCTGCATGCAAGGATGGTGTTACGTTCAGCCGCCAAGATTCCAGAGATTTTAAACGATGAGGAGTGCAGGATCAAGTTCACCATTAATGGAAAACATGTTAAGGCTCGAAAATTCATTCCTAATCACAAATCCGTTTATAATCTTCCTTAAACCATCCTTTGGAATCTCTCTCTAGTTACATATATATTCTTCTTGTTTGATCTTGAAGAGTTCTAAACCCATTTCAAAAAAAAAGGTGATATCTATTTTATCTAGGATGGAAGACTTTTATTTGGTTGGTGATTGACATTTATCTCAAAACTATTTTTTCATAGACTCAATTTCGTCAGTTTTCATACTTCTTTCACTTTCTACACTTTTCCCTTTAGAGATTCTTTATTGTAATCATAATATTTCAGAGAGTCTCTTATATAAAACTCGAGAACAAAATAAAACAAAAGTGTCTCTAAAGACCATATTGCAAGTTTCTTTACTAGCTGCTACTCTTCTTATCAGATTTTGGTTTCATGAATCATTAGACCGTCTTTGCCTCCTGGTGAAGTCTTAGTCTTAGACCTCATCAATCCGAATAACTTTGAGAAGAAGTTACCTCCATCTTTTGTCTTGACAAGCTTGTCAAGATCTTGCTTCATGCTGTTACATTCTTTCTCAAGCTCGCAAACACGTTCCTTCATCACATTCATCATCACCATATTTGCATTTCCATTGTGTCCTTCTAGTGCCTGATTCTTGCCGCTTGTGTCGTCATTGTTGCTGTCCGTGTCGTCCAAGAACCATCCTGCTATAGATGTCCTAAGTCGCATATGTTCAATGAACAAGACTTGTACTATGACTCTCAAAGGTAGACGCTCGTTTTGTGCTGCGTGTGTGCATGCCTCCAACGACAGTTTCTGGCAGTTCATAAGCAGACACAGTCTCTCTCTCTCTGACTCTCTCAACCATGGATGAGCCTGTACAGCTCCAAAACCATATACATGCATTATAAAGACATTCAAAAGATTTATTTTGATACTAATTAAAACATATATAATTAAGGTTTGTTTACCTTGATGTATATATCAATTGCACGGTAGATACCATCATCCAATGGCCTCACATCTTCAGGGATTACAGCACCAAGTGCTTGAAATTTCGATAGTTTCAAGTTCTCATCAGAAGCCACCTCTGCTAAGTAGCCATCTATTAGACTAGCAACCTTTTTGATAGGCCTAAAAGGATGAGAATCCACCATAATCTGTTTCTCCTCAACGTTGTTGTAACAAGAAGAATCATATGTTAACATGAAGTGATCAAGAATCCTTTGAACAGAGTCGATATCATAGAGTGATTCAGCTGAGTATTTTCCCATGTTTGGTATAAGCAGATCCTCTAGAGCAGCTTCATCTAGCTGCACACCGATTTTTCTCTCAAGATTCTCTTGAGTGACTGCACTAGCTTGGAGAACCATGGATGTTCTAAGAAGCCTGAGCAAGAATCTTGTCGATGTAACACACTTTTGGCTCGGTAGTAGCTTCACTATTTCTTCTACGAGACTTCTTTGGTCTTCTTGAGAATAGCAAATATCATCACCACCATGATTAGTCCCTTCCTCTGAAGATGAAGAGCCACAGTGCTTAGAACTACCAAGTAATGGAAGGTTCCTTTTCGCGTAATGAGTGACAGATGCTGCTATTACATCCGCTTTCACGCCTCTGGATTCAATGGTTTTAATGAATCTTTTGTACATTGAGATATTGAGGGATGAAGACACATCGTTGAACCACCAGTTCCCACTCATGGACTTAGTTTGTATACCGTTCCACGATGTAGTATCTGATACTGGCCAGTTGAAAAAACTTGTGTCCTCTGCATAAGAAGCCTTGATGGCTAAAGAACCAATGCACCTAGTGACAATGTGAAGTTCTTCAGCGGGAGGTATCAGTTTTTGTTCACAGCTCTTCAAGGCTTTGATAATATCATCCCAGTTTGTGAAAACGTTGTCCTTGAGGAAACTCTCGGTGAGGGAGATGAGATTTGCATCTCCGTAGTTCTCACTCATTTGGAGATACTCTGCTGCACATCTGAGACTCACTACGTTTTCAGGTGTGACCTCAATTCTTGCACCGTAACAGAACTTGGCCACGAGCAAGAATGTTTCATGTCCACCGGGAATGTCATGAAGCTGAGCAACACAAGTTGACTCAGAGGCTTTGCTGAAGAGAGTTTCTAGGTATCCACTTCTTGATAACAACGGAAACTTGATGCATGATGAAGAAAACACATGAGAGACATGGTATGAGTGAGTCAATGTTATCAAGTTTTGTTTTGTTATACCTTATGGAGATGGAAGGTTTGGTCTTGTACTTGGATCATCACATCAGGTTTAAGTCCAGTTGAGCAAAGCCTGATCACAGATTACAAAGAAGAGATGAAAGATTCTGTTTAATAATTAAAAACCCCATTGAAGAAGAGTACTGACCATGTGTGACCACTTAGATGAAAGACTTCAGATTTGGAACCAAGTTTCAAGCTAGCCATCTTCTTCACTCTTTTGGTTCTTCAACAACTCCAAAATAGTTGCAGATGATTATTCATCAACACTTTTTGATTATTGTAAATATGAGAGCGAGTCTTGTGGAGAGATGGATACAGACGAAGCTTTTGTCCACTTGTATTATCTGTTACAAGTTTTCCCTTTATTTTCTGTAGTCTGTTAGTGTAACGCTTCCTCTTTCTTCATGATCAGTAAAACTTCTCTTTACATGAATATTTTAATTTTTCCACAGTAATAAATGTGGAAGATATTTGACTGGTCAACAACTTATAGTTGCTCTCTAATGTTAAGGTTTGGTAAAAAATATTAGTCAAAGACGGCCTATTACGAGACCAACTCATAAAGGCACATTATAGAAACCCATAGCAAATGCATGTGCAAACTGCCCTCGGTACTCAGGCTATCCGGCTATTAAGGCTTGAAGCACACTAGTTTAGCCACTCAATGCTTAAAGTTTTCAAAACCTCTTTATTAGTGCTACATTTAAATTTTAAAATTCGGCAATAATACTACCTCGCACCATTGTAACATGTAGCTAGCTTAGTGGATGGTTTGTAATATTATCATAATCTTTGTTTTAATATAATGAATTCAGTCTTGCATAGAACATGTTACTCACCATTTGTTTAGTCGTAGGCTCGTAGCATCAGTTGAGTAGCCAGGGAGGGAAGGGAGCTATATTAATATTATGATTAATTTATAAAATAACTAGTTGGTTTCCTGAGTAAGACCCATAAACATTTAAAAAAAAAAAGAAATTTGTTATTTATAACTAAAATAAAAGAATATTTTAAATAAAATTTAAATAGGTTTAATCAAATTTATTAAAATTACACTATAATAATCAATTTTATTTATGTTATATCTACATTTAATTTAAAGATATTTATATATTTTAAATTATAAGTTTGAAACTTTTTATTAGTTAAAATATATTAAATCAAGTTGTAGTAAATTAAGAAATTTGGTTACAAAATGTTAAATTATATATACTGAAAATATATAATGGTATTAAGATTTTAACTATATAATTTAGAAATAGAAAATTTCATAATATTATCAAATATATTTTACAAAAATTATATATACTGGAAATATATAATGGTATTAAGATTTTAACTATATAATTTAGAAATAGAAAATTTCATAATATTATGAAAATTATAAGTAAATTGTACTTTCAAAATTTGTAAAAACATTTTATTGCATTATTGTAGTGTTATATTTGATTAGATTAATTTAATTAGGATACATGTGTTATTACGATATTTCAAATTCTGCACCATTAATACCAAATTAGATAAATGTAAGTGTCATATTATAATTAGATTCATGCCAAGGTGAAAATATATTTGATAAAATTATGTAATTTAAGAAAAACTTGATTACAAAAATGTACAATTATAAAAATTAAATTAAAATAGTATTTAAAGCATTTGTATATATTAAAACAATTAGTAGTATTAAGTTTCAAAGTATATAACTAGTAAAGAAAATTTCAGAAAATTATGAAAAGTATAAATTGTATATTCAAAATCTTGTAAAGTTATTTATATATTCGTAACATCATTTTATGGTGTTATATTTGATTATATTAATATAATTAATATATATATGAATTCTTAAAATATTTAAAGTATTTATCATATATACTAAATTACATAAATTTTTATGTTAATTTTAAATATTTTGATCCAACAAAATTAAATTTTTTTTTTAGTGCTAAATAATTATGATATTATAAACTATGAAAAATATTACAAACAATTCTATATCCAATAATTCTACATATTTTATGATGATTCACGCTTAACTGCATCAACTGAATCGTCATATCGGATTCATTCTCGACAATGCTATGCCTAAAAGACTTATAAAATGCTTTTTTTTTTCTGAACACCAACTTATATAAATGTTTAATCTATTTTTAAAGGAAATCGATAATAATAAAGAAATATATAATATTTATAGAATAAAATATTGAAAAGGAGTCGGTCAAACTATGAATAAATTTTTTTTTTGATCAACCAACTCTGAATGATATAAGAGGCACAGTTGCAGAGGGTTTGTGTGGCCCTTGTCAAAGTTTGGCATCTCTTTCTCCTCCTCTCGATTCCTTTTTCTCTTTCCTTTTTATCTAATAACTGTAAACTTTTCTGGAAACTGCTACTCAGACCTCTCAACCACTCTTCTTTTCTTTGGTAGATTCTTCTTCTTTCCCTCTCTCTCTCTTCCCTAAATCTAGAACTCTACTTGTGTTTTTATTCTTGTCGGTAGATTTGCTTTAGCCTCAAAGTCTTTGATTAGTCTTCTTCTCTGGTCAGTGATCGATCTTATTTCTACTTTTGAATAGTTATTCAGAGTCTCTTTATACTTTCTGATTCTGTTTTTAACCATTTTGTTATTCGTTGATTGATTCTCACCAGTTTGTTTTTGATTGTACTTCTTTCATTCAAGTGACGTGTCTAGATTTCTCTATTAGTTGCTGGAATTAGGGATTATAGATCTTATGTTTTTATTTCATTTGACTTTTTTTTTTGCAGACAGACATAACTGTTATTGATCTGTAGGTGTTTGTCTGAATAAAGGTACAAGCTTGGAGTTGGGATATTTATATTTCGAGTTATGTCTGGAAACCAACAGGTGTGTGTGTTTTTTTAAAAAAAAATTTAAATATCCCAAACTAAACTCTGCTATTAATGCGTTCACCAATTTTAGAAACTGATGATGTCGCTGTCTTTTTTTTTACTGTCTGTGTGTTTGGTTGGTATCTATCAGCTTCAGATCAGTATGCCTACATGGCGGTGCAGAGACGTTAATACTGCTATTCCTATTAAGAAGAGGAAGTACTTTGTGTTGCCTGAAGAACCAGGTGGCTCATCACCTCCTTTGGAAAATAATACACAACCTAATGAGAAAGGTGATACTAGGAGTGCTTTGGATTTGAATTCATCTGATGTAATTCAGAAAATGATTGGTGAGGGATCTAGGATAAGTATTGGAGAACCAGTCCCTTCTGTTTGTGTGGGAAAAGATGCTGATAAACCTGAGATTATTGGGAACCTAGTTCTTGACCAAATTAGAGTGAAAGTTGAAGAGCCAAATATTCCAATTCAGTCCAGTCCCTTGGCAGGCTCAGTGATCCCTTCCGGCTCTAACATAGTTGCCAATTCACTCCATTGTTCTCTGGAAAAGCTTCCTATATGTGCTGAAGGACATCCTGGTGTTGTTGTCACCTCAGGTGAAACTATTCTTAAGACCCATGACATTGTTAGTAAGGAAAGTTTCGGAGGAGAGTGTCAAATAGAAACAGCTGCTGGTGCAGGTATAAACAACTCTTCATATTTGGAGAATTCCCCTGTAAGAAAGGGAGTTTGTGCACCTCATGTCACAGATTCTATTTCTACTTGTACCAAATCTGGCAATCTCAGTGGTGTGAACAGATCAAATTGGGATTTGAATACTACCATGGATGCTTGGGAAGATGGTTTAGATCGCAAGACTAGAGTTAAAACAACTGGTTCATTCTTTGACAGTGAAAACAGAAGTTGCCCTGACATAGAGACACCAGGTTGTGGTGATGAGACAGTTATTGCAGATCCTGTTTTTGAAAAACCGAAGGAAACTGTAGAACTTAAATCTCCTGCAGTGACTTCGACGCTGGTTAATCCCACATGTTCGCTAAATCTAGGCATCAGTTCATATCCTCATATTGAGAAGTCTCCTTCTCTATCAGCTACTGCATCAGAGGCAAGATTTGCCTGTACAAGTTTTTCTAGACCAATAATGGCTGATGATAATGTGGACTCTGTAAACCTTAGGACTGTGAAGTCAGAAGTCGTTGAAGAGAGTGCTCAAGCTTTTCCAATGGGGATATCTGTTAACAGGGTGAAAGAGGAGGTCGTTGATAGATTCAGAAAAGAAAACAGTACAGCATCCAACAGTTTGAATCCAGTGGATTCTAGATCAGTAAAGGCTCAACCAAACAACTTCATTCAGTCCAAAGTTTTCAATAGGAAAGATGGGACGTTGAATCATCCCCATACACCGATGATGCATACAAATGAGATCCTTGATTTACTTACAAGTTTTACGCCAAATCAGAAGGATACACATACACCCTATACCAGTGGTATCAGCAATGCGCCAATGTCCATGAATGGAATGACAAGAAATCCAGGCTTTCAGAGTTATCCTGACTCTACATTGAAAGTAAATTCAGGCCAAAGTTATGGTCACAGTGTAGTTCACATGACTAATGAATGTTCTGGTCATGGAGATCATAACCTCAATGCATCAGATGTGAATGTTCCCTTGACAGAAGATAAAATTCTAGATGATTGCAAGATTTCTAAAAGTGGTGAAGAAAAGGTTATTTTATCCGGTAAGGAGCTAAGGGAAGAGTTATACAAGTTCGAACCAGATTGTGGTAATGACCTATCTAGAGTTCTGAAGAAGCAAGTTGTAAAAAGAAATTTGTATGACGACGAGAAGATCCAAAGACCAGCTGCCATGTTTGCTGAGTATGGGGGTTCTGAAACGGAACAAATGGATACTTCTGTTCCATTTGACGGCGGCAAACAAAATTATTACAATGTGAAAGAAAAAATGAGTCAAGCTGCACTTCTCGGTAATACAGGTAATGGTTAAAGAATGCTCCGCCTCAGCATCTTTTGATAAACTTAAGAAATATACTGTTGATGAATCATGTTCCGGAAACTCATAATGGAATATTTGATGGATCAGGTGATAATGAAGGCAGGATAGTTAAGGATGGTGAGCAGACAACCCATCAAATAATTCCTTCTAGTGAAAGAATGTCAGGTGTGTTTACATTGTCAGGCGGGAAAGTTGATAACCCTGAAATAGTAGATAACATCAGTCCAGCTTCATACAAGGCAGACATTTCTACTATTGACAATGATCCTCCTCATGCGGAGTCTAGTGAAGGAAGTCAGAGTCGTATCAAGACACTAGATGCTTCAGACAGCTTTGTACCATTGCGAATGGAAAGAGATAGACTGTCTGATTTCTCACTTGATCAGCGGAAATATCTTTCGAGAGGGAGGTGTGTGTTTTTTTTTTCTGAACTTTCTTATCTCTATACTTTCTTTGCCTCATTCTCTTTTGAGATCTTTATGGATTTCCTTCCATTATTGTTTCTTTTGCTAGTGATGAATCCTGCAAATTCCCGCGTGAGAGGTACCAAGGCAAAACTATGAGAAGCCCAAGGTCATATTTCATGCCTGACAGAAGCAATTTTCAGGACCGGGATACAAAAAGTAAATCCATATCTAAGTTAGTTTTTTCGATGGAAGAACAAAGCTCAGTGTTTCTAAACTTGAATATTACTCATGCAGATTTTGAGTCCAACAATTATGGAAACACTCGACGGGGTGGTGGTGCTTTTATTAATTCATATAGAGGCAGACGACCTGCAGATGATGAATCAACCCCTTTTCCCCACTCCTTTACGAGAAGAACACATGGCTTTTCATTTACACAAAGAGGATCAACAAATAAAGAGGATGCATCTGAATTTCACGGATATAGAGATGGTGAAAAGTTTACTAGGGGAGTACAATCCAACGACATGGAGCCAATGTTTATGAATCAGCCACGTCCGTATCAAGGTCGGAATAGTTTTGCTAGAGGAAGAACACATTTTTCAAACAACCACAAACGAGAGTATCCTAGATTTCGTTCAAGATCTCCAGTTAGATCAAGAGAACGATCAGCTGGTCCGTCCTCGTCTTTCAGAAACAGATCACAGGAAGATTTCAGTGGGCATACAGACTATTCTAACCGGAGATCACCCTCAGGGTATAGAATGGGGAGGGTAAGCTCGCCTGAACATTCTGGTTATCCAAGGGAAATGGTTGGCAGAAGGCATAATTCTCCACCTTACTCTCATAGACCATCAAATGCTGGAAGGGGTCGGGGTTACAGAGGATATGAAAGGGGCAGAGGATATGCAAGGGGAAGAGGTTATGGAAGAGATGGTGGCACTTTTTTTAGGAAACCATATGATCGTGTTGTACATAGAAACCATGGAAACTGGAACAACGTGGATCCTCGAGAAAGAGTGGACTATAGTGATGATTTCTTTGAAGGACCAATGCATTCTGAACGTTTTGGTGTTGATGATAATGTTGAGAGAAGACAATTTGGTTATAGGCATGATGGTACGAGCTCGTTTAGACAATCCTTTAACAGTGATGGTTGTGCACCTACTGATGGTGAGGATGGCCTTGGTGATGTGAGATATGGACAGAACTCCGATATTGAGATGGTTAAAGAACAAGAGATTGATGGAAAAGATAAGCCCTCAACTGCGAATGCATCTGGAAGAGCTAAGAATATGGAAGAGGAGGAAACTTCAAAATACAGTGAAATTTGGCAACGGGATGAACTTGGCGGTGGTGACGTGTTTTAGAAGAAAGATTAGTATTCAGTTTGCTTGAACCTTCTGAGACTAGAGGGAGATTTGAGTGATAGTGAATCAGGTACCAAACGAAAGTTCTGTGATTTTGCCACGGCAGAGGCCAGTTAATGGCTGATAACTCTGGGCATTTCAGTAACTGGTTTGAAGGGACACTCTGCTATGTTGTGTTAAATAGTTGCGAATTGGTCAGTGCTTGGCTGTGTAGATAGAGAGAGAGCTCTTCGCTTGTGGTGTCATCTAGATTTTGTTGCTTTGTGCTGTGATTCAGATTTGGGTGTTATCTTCTGTGCGGCAGCACTGTCCGTGAATAGGTATACAGCTGAAGGAAGATGGTGTGGGTGTAAATACATGTGAGAAATTTTCAGGCTTGCCTGCACTCAGTTGTCCTCGGTATGTTTAAGTAGAACGTGACTGTACTAATAGAGACGAGGAATGACTAGGGTATTAGAAGAGACACTTTCCTCTTGTTGAAATACAGGCCAGGCTTTTAGTCCCATACAACTTTATAGACAGAAGAAAAAATGCAGGTTTTGATGGGTGAGTCTCTTTGCCAAAGCATTAAAGTGCAATACTCTGAAGTTGAGCCTGCGAAGACAATAACAGCCATATGGCTGAGCCATGACTTTTTTTGGCGTAGAACATTCACTTTCATCTGGGCATACCAGATAATAATTTCTTCTAAAATGATCTCATCAGTTAAGCTTTAGGTACACTCAAGAGGATTAATAAGTACACATCTTTGTGGAACTTGAAGGTAAGCTAAACCAAGCTTGCTTGGATGTTGAAACAACGGCTGATCATCTGCTGGTAGAACTCGGTTTACTGGCCGTGGTAAAAAAACTGGAAACTGCTAAAGTTGCACCGGCCATTTGAATCTATTGGTTTAATTAATGGTTTTTTTTTTCTCATTTAAGTGGGTTTAAATTTCGACGTGAATGATTCATGTCTTGGGATTTTGGCATGGTATATATCAGTATATGCTGTTAATGAGGGCATAAAGTGTTGGGAACTAGAAGAGAATCCAGCATTCTGATTTGAAACGTGTCTGAGTTTGTATTTAGTTCTTGTTTCTGAGACAAGAGTCTGAAATTTATAAGAGTGATGAGAGACCATATCTTAATCTGGACCATGGTTAGCATACATGTCATATGATTCTTTATGGATGTGTAAACGGTGCATCTTGAGCTGATTAGAACGTTGTAGATCTCCTCAAAGCAACATGCTATAAAGTATAATTCAAGTATGTAGTTGACCTCCGTTTCAACAATTTTATAGACAATATATTAGAGATATATAACAAAGAATTCAAAGAAAAATACAGTATACAAACAAAACCAAACCAGAGTTTCAAACCAGTCAACCTTTGGATCAAACCGAGTTTTGTTTTTTACCATCTCTTGTTCTTGCTGCCCAAAAGCAAAGAAAAGTAAAACAAGTTTCTAAAGAAGCTCCAAGCAACCTTGACCCAAAGCAATTCCATTTGCTAAGATCTGCAACTAGGTTGATGAATACATATGTTTTGATTAACATATGAGTAAATTATTTGGGACTTTTTATATAGAAAAGAACATGAAATAGTGTTAGATATTGTCACCACAAATTAAGAAAGAACAATTGCAGTCACTATTAGAAGATAATATCAATTCTCTACATTGGATAAAGAAGTCCTTTTAACTAATGTAGCTGGTCGCAACCATTCTCATCTAAAGCCATCATCCAAAGGATTCACCCCACGAACCATCATCATGTACAACAACCCTTTCTTTCCAAAAGAAACGACAGGCATAAAAGAAGAAGAAGAAAAGTACAAGCTTATGAACATATTCCAAGGGCTTTGCTATACACAAACCCATCCATCATAGCTGCCACCAATAACACCGACTAGTCAAGCTGAAAATCCTGATTCCAAGATTGCTGACCTATTGAACTTGAAGCTTCTGAAACTGTTTCCAGGTTCTGCACCCTGAGGACGCTCTACTAGTTGGGGCTGCTGCTTTTTATTGTAGCTTTCCGTTGTTGCTGCTGTCCCGTTTCCTCCTGTACTACTCAAAGTCCTTGCATTCCACACGCTGAGTGCTGTACAAAGCCTATAATGTCAGATCTCTGCCAAACACAAAATACTCTCTTTTTATGCATGCTTTGGTGCAAAAAAGAAGACTGTCAAACCTCTAAGGGGCTTATCAGGTCTTCGTTGTACAGGAGCCGGATGCTTTGATATCCATGACTTCAACGACCTGCAGATGTTTGTAATCTCTAATGCCATGCACCAATACCCAAGAATCTATGTGGACATATAAAAAAGGCACTACTCACCCAAGAAAAGGAGCCACCATATACAACTTGAGACCAGCAACTCCATGAGTTATCACCTCATTACTTGCTGGCTGAAGATGATCAAGTCGATGCCATGCAATTTCCTACAAAAGTTCTCCACAACAACTGAAAGTAAGAGACTCATTCATCATAGATACGCAGATAAGACCCACACCCACAAGGTTGCTTGTTAAATACATACACTAATTTCCTTCTTGGTCTGTGGTGCAAAAGCTGTATCATCTGTCACCCCAGCAACTATGTAAAGTCTCACTCTTTGCTGTCTGAATGTAAACTCAATATATTCTTCTTTCTTGAGTAGCTTTGAGACATCAAATCCAGTTTCCTCTAAAACCTGTGTTTAGCATCGAAAAAGTTAAAAGTGTGACAAGACATTCAGCTTTTTTCATCAATAACCCATAACCAAAGTTTATACAGATAATCAGCACGAAAATTACACCTAAACTCCTGCAAATGGAATAGCAGTAGTGAGCTACAAATAAAATTTGTAAAAAGAACAGCAGCAGCTATTCTCATTTTCGAAAGATCCTGTATAGTGATGATCTAAGAAGAACATTTCCTTGCTCAATTATTATCTCAAATACGAGAATCTATCTTTGAGGAGGGTATTTACCATGATCAAACTGTTATATTAGTATGAAAAATGAGATACCCTGTGCCAATACAGAAGATACGAGAGACATTCTCTCTTCTATTCTTTCACCTCCATCATCTATACAATTAAACAAAACCACGCGCACATAATGTCGACACATCTGTAAATGCCAACAGCCAACGAAGTAGAACCAATGCACCCACCCACTACGAGTGATTAAACTGTTACCGCCTAACTCGTGAGATACAGAATTCAATCTTACCCAAGATGCTCTCTAATTCTAATTACATAGTCTTCATATTCAGCAATGATAAATGAGTGGTTGTAAAGTTTGTCAGAAACAACACACAACAAATGAGACAGGGAAAGTAATCAACACTAACCTCACGAATAGCACAAGCATAGTCTTCTTCATCCTTACTCTTCTTCCCGCGGGGAAAGCTCCAGCTTGACCCTTTCCATCCCTTCACCAACAAGCACTGAAAACTCCAAGAAAAGTAAAACTCAATGCTAGCAAGAAAAGATTAGAAATTTTGTTAAAAAAACATGACAAGAAGAATCAAACCCGCTCATAAGTTTCATCGAGGATAATAGCACCAGTGACAGGAACTCTACACTTGTAAGAAGTAAAGTCTTTGAAGATATCATCAATGTTAGAGACATAAGGTCTCAAAACATCACAGCTGTTGAACACTAGAGTCCGTCACGTTAAGGAAAACAGATCCACAAAAGAACAACGGGGAAAGATCAACACTTTAAAACACAAATCATCACAGAGAAAAAAAAAGGGATACAGAGTAAAGTAAACTCCTTTAAAGAGAGAGACTTTAACGTAGGATCATTCTCCACAGCGTTATCTTCGTAGTACCAATACGCATACTCCACCAGAAAGAGAATCCTCTCGAAAGACTGTTGATCTTCTTCAGGAACATTCAACACAAATCGACTGTAAAAAGAGAATCCAATCCAATCCAATCAGTGTTCGCTTCACTTTGTAGTGAAAAGAGAGAGAGAGAGAGAGAGAGAGAGGGATACCTGCAAAGATCGTCAAGAAGCTCTTTGGAAGGGAGAGACTTTCCGACGTTCTTGGATGAGCTTGAAGATCGGTGGAGACCTGACATAGTTCCGCCTAATCGAAAAACCCTAATATAATATAATGGAGGAGAAAGGAGTGTTCTTTCTCTGTTTAGGTATATATATAATACAGCTGTGTGTGTGTGGCTCAAAGCTTTTGGGTTTTCCCTCGCCGTCGTCGTCGGTTGAATTGAATCTAATCTAATCTGATCGCTCTGAGTTTGAGTCTGAGGGGTGTATAAAGGTGGGCCCTTTTTTAATCTGATTTGGCCTTTTTATCGCTCAATGGAGTTGCAGATTAGGGTGGATTTATTAAATATCCGAGATCCGACCCAAATCTCTGTTTGGGTATCCAAGTCCCGACCCAAGTCTTCAAGAAAATAAAATAAAAATCTACAGTCATTCTTTTTATCTACTGATACAAGTTGTCATTTAAATTTGGACCCTTTCTAGAATGTTACAAATAATATAAATCATACAATTGATTAAACCATATTACTTAAATTAAACCAACACAATTAATGTAAAGAGACGACCTTAATGTAAACTATCTTCAAAATACGGCACGTATCTCTATAATATTATTTGAGAAGTCACTTTATTAGGTGTCTCGCTCACGTTAACTCTCACGCTAGTTGATTACTATGATAGCCTTAATGAATTAAAAATATATTTAAATATTATTATTTCCTTTTTAAAATCTTCCAAATAACAATATAAAATAAAAAGGAAATATTTATAAAATTTACAAAACTATTTAAAACGGAAAATAAGTATATATATAATATGGTTTCATAAAAAAAGAAAGTTTACAAAATAATAATATTTAACTTAAATATATTTTTAAATAACATAAATTATACTTTTAAGTAATAAAATACTTTATATCTATATTTTCTTAGATGAGAAAAATATTTGTATATAATGTGTTTTCATTAAAAAAGTTCATACAAATAATCTTGATATTAGAAAAGAAATATTTTTGTTTAAAAAAAAATTAAACAATAAAATATATATTTTCAAATTAATTATTTTTTGATATATCTATCTATTTTATTAGATTATTACATAAAATAATTAAGTAACATAAACTAATATATGTTTAATTGGCAAAAAAATTATAATTAGTATTATTGAAATATTTTTTAGTATATTTATTTGATTATAATATCATACAATTACAGCAAAAAAATATAAATTATATTTTACTTATATAATATAATTTCTC